ACCTTGAATGTCAGGCTTCAGGCGCTGAATAAAAGTAGACTAGGCTGCCAAGTGTGCAGAGGTGACATTCCTGAGTTATTTTCAGAAGGTTTACTTAGCAGTGATGAGCACATCTGAGGGAGGAGTCTCAAGAAGGAAATGCAGTTAAAGAGATACTACAATTGTCGAGACCCAGGCATTTTCTGAGAAACCTCTGTAATTTTGTTTTCTGAAAGATAAATACAAGGTAACACAAAGGATCGTGCTCCCTGAGAATTAGCAAGAGAAGGGAAGTCAGGATCATTGTGACTCCTCAGGATTCCCCTCTGCTTTGCAGGGCACTCATGGTGGGTAGGATCAGATGGTCATTCAGCTCATGGCCATTTATCATAATAGAAAAGTGTGTTCTGAGAAGCAGAAACAAGCTTATCTGTTTCCAGCGAGCTGGCGAGGATGGAAATGTCACCCCTCACTGCTCTGGACTTCTGTGCCAGGCTGAGCCCTTGCTTGTGTGAAATGGACGTTTTGGCCCAAGTTCCAGACTTTCAGACGCTCTGGACTCACCTCTGGGACAGGAGGTTGAAAGGTTTTAAACGTTTTTTGTGTTAAATTGATGTATATTGTGTAAGAGACGTGCTCCCAGGAACTACCTCAGAGGCGATCAGGCAGGGATTTTCCCTTCCTTGCGCGTTACTTCATTCTCTCTGCTCACTAGAAGACAGACACCTGCCTACTTCCTTCAGCACAGGGAACATTTGTTTGAGATAAAGGGACATAAATCGTCCTACTGTTTTTCAAGATGTTTCTAAAAGGAAGAACCCAGTGACCTCTGGTCATTGTGATTGCTTTGGCCACATGTTTGGAGTGTGAAAAATCAGTATTAGAATTTCCCTGTCAGTAAACTTAATAAGGTCATAGGCATGTGGTGCATCACAAAAAATTTATCTGTACCCACCATTGACTTAGAAAACAAGAGTATTTGATAACTATGTCTAGAGTATTTGACTCCTGAAGATGTTCATCTTCTCAACTTCCAGTGCTATTGGCCAATCAGGCTGGCCAATCAATGCTAGAGCCTGACAGTGCTGCTTGCTGGGGTACTCCTGCATTATACCTGCCAATCATAGGAAACCATGTGATGCTGGAAGTTAAATTTGGATCCACATTTATGCAAGGCATGTGCCCTGACCCTTGAGCTGTATCCTCAACTGCTCATTCCAACAATTTATCAAGAAAATTTTCACGCATATTGTTGAAATAATTTTACAGTAGAAATATATGTGCCCATCATACTTCTAAAATGAATATTTCTTATACTTGCTTTATCATATACTTATTTAATTTCAGTGGATAATACTGTTTTTTTTGGGGGGGGGGGGTCACACTTGGCTGCGCTCAGGGTATATTCCTGGCTCTGTGCTCAGGGATCACAAAGCAGATAATTTTTTAAATTGAATCACCATGCATTACGAAGTTATTCCTAAATGAGTTTCAGGCATGCAATGTTCCAATAGCAATCCTTTTACCTGTTAATAGTGGCCAATTTTTAATAACCTCTTCATCTGAAAAAATTTTCTGTATTAATCATGCTAAATTGAATCAAGGTAATGACCAGCAAAACATTGAACCATTTTTCTGAATTTTGCAAAGTCATGCCTGGTGAAGTTAATAAACACTGCATACTAAATATTATGTATAAATATTACATCTTGAAGTTTATGCTACGTATACTTTCAATTTTCTTTGCAAATAAATTCCCCATGGTCATGTGGAAGAGCAGAGATTAAATAATTGAAGGTCTATTCATTCACTTTTGCAATCATTGTGCTACTATTATTTATCTTGAATTTTCTGTTGCAGAGATATGCAGTCCTACAGGGATTATTTACCAGATTGTTGGAGACAGAGACCCTTTCTCAAGTAAGATCAGATGATTCGGTTAGATTGTTAGAGTCTTACTCTCCAAAGGAGCATGTGGTACATTGTCCTTCCATGTTTGAGACCAACTATACAATGGGAGTTCTCCAAATTCATTTATATATGACATTCATTAGTTGGGCTGGAGCTATAACACACGGGTACGGAGTTTGCTTTGCACGCGGCCAACACGGCAGACCTGAGTTCGATTCCTCCGCCCCTCTCGGAGAGCCCGGCAAGCTATGGAGAGTATCTCGGCCGCATGGCAAAACCTGGCAAGCTACCCTTGACGTATTCAATATGCCAAACACAGTAACAACCAGTCTCACAATGGAGACACTACTGGGCTCGCTCGAGCAAATTGATGAACAACGGGAGGACAGTGCTTGCTATTCATTAGTTAATAAAAGAAGAGCAAGAGAATGTGACCAACTAAAACTGACATACATATTATTAGATTCATTTGTATTGGTGCAATATTTTTCAGAGAACAGTATTTTATCATTAATATTGTTTAGAATTACTGACACTTTTTGATACCAAAAGAGCAGTCTGTATTTGGTTTTATAATTTTAATTTCTATATGTAGAATATAGTCTTAAAGTTTTGCTGCTGCTTCTGATTTTTTGTGGGGTGAGGTATCAGGTAAAGAGACAAAGCTTTGCAAAAAGCTGTGAAATTGGCTTTTGTTTGGTACTATGGCAGAAGGAGATTTCAGTTTCGAACACAGCAAAGTAAGTTGGTGATTATGACTTGCACAAGGATGAAAGCGTAATTAAAGATGTTTCATAGTCTACCTTGGATATACTTATGTTTAAGAATGTGAGTTTATTTATTCTTTTGTCACGGGTAGCTTGCCAGGCTTTGCCATGCGCACAAGATACTCTCGGTAGCTTGCCAGGCTCTCCAAGAGGGATGGAGGAATTAAACCCGGGTTTTCTGGGTCAGCTGCATGCAAGGCAAATGCCCTACCCACTGGGCTATCACTCCAGCCAAAGATGGAGGTAAAGAAATAATATAAATTGTATTAATTGAAATTCTTATCATTACAAATACTGACAAATTTAGCCAGATTAATGAATTACTTTAGCTTCTAATAATAAATGTTTATGGAATATACAAGTAGTACTTTTAAATTAGTTGGTCATATATGCTAATGTTTTGTTTTCTTACAGCTTGTGCTTTTTATTTTTATATTTGTACAATCATTTTATTAAAAATTATAGCTTCGGGCTGGAGCAATAGCACAGCGGGTAGGGCATTTGCCTTGCACGCAGCCAACATGGCCGACACAGGTTCGATCCCCAGCACCCCATGTGGTCCCCCGAGCACCGCCAGGAGTGATTCCTGAGTGCATGAGCCAGGAGTAACCCCTGAGCATTGCCGGGTGTGACTCAAAAAGCAAAAAAAAAAAAAAAGAAAAAGAAAAAAATTATAGCTTCAACTTAAAAAGAAAAAAAAAAGACTTGAAAGAGTGGCCAGAAGTTGGACCCTCTAGGAGAATCCGTATGTGTTGCTGTTATGCTGGACAGTGCTTTACTTACACCAGACAGCTGAGTAATTCAAGAACAAAGGAAAATAATGCAGAAATTATGGGCAAACTTATAAGAAATCCCACAATCTTATAATTATTACAAATCCAAAATCATCACAAGTTTTTTTTCCTTGGTGGGAGTTATCAATAAATGACAAAAGTCAGGAAGTCCATTTGTACAATAGGACAAAATCTGTCATTTAGTCTCTCCACAAACAATCTTTGATCAGTTTTAGCAGGCGTTTCTCATTTGCTTTCTTATGACCTGTCTGAATGAAGCCTGAATGTGTCCTCGTCCACAGACCAATGTTTTTCTTTGAAAGTGTGATCATACACTGACTCTTGCTGTCCAGTACCCACAGAGAAGCGTGTCTGTACTCCAGAGGCAGGATGTGCTAGGGTACTTTCTTCCTAACCATTTCCCTCCCCTGCCTGCTAAGGAAAGTCTGACAAAGCTTTTTAATCTCAGGATTAATTTTCTTTCCCCACCCTTGAACCCAGTTCAGATTAACATCAAAAACAGGGAAGGCATTTTGTTAAGAGTTTTCGTCCCAAATTGGTATTGAATTTTGTGAAATTTTTTTCTGCATCTATGAAAAATAACACAGCGGGTAGGGCATTTGCCTTGCACGCAGCCTACCTGGGTTTGATTCCTCCGTCCCTCTCGGAGAGCCCAGCAAGCTACCGAGAGTATCCACCCTGTGGGATGAGCCTGACAAGAGCCTGGCAAGCTCCTTGTGGCATATCCGATATGCCAAAAACAGTAACAAGTCTCACAATGAAGACATTACTGGTGTCTGCTCAAGCAAACCGATGAACAATGGGAGGACAGTTCTAATTAGTGCTAATATTCTAGTTAGTACTTTAGAAATGATCACTATTTGGCTTCCCTTTTTGTTGACATGGTGTAGCACGTTACTAGATTTGTCTATGTTGAACCACCCTTGCATTGTTGGAATAAATACCAGTTGATCATTAAAAAAAAAAAAAAGAACAGGGAAAAAGGGGAAAATGGATTCTGTCAGGAAAGACACAAGCTTGCTGAGTACTGCAAGAGCAGATGAGAGAAAAAGAGGAGGAGGACCTTTCTTGATAAAGGGTTTTGGAGTGTAGATGTACACTTGAGTGGGGTCTCTGGCATGACATGAAATGGGAGCAAAAAGAAGCTGGGATGGAATTTCTAAGAGGTGCTGAAGGTTATAAGTAAGATCATTTTGTCTAAGGGAGATGCAGGTAAAACATTTAAGGATGGAAATATTGTTGGGTTGTTAGACTCTGTCCTTGTAAGGGCAGCCATGCCTGGAGGCTTGGCTCAGGGGGACCTGACTCACTCCAGAGTTACATTAAGAAACAGTTCATTTGGGGTGCAAGCTGTCAGCTGGGGCCCTTTAACGTTCACTATATAGCGGCGAGGCAGCTTCAGTTTCTGAACTGGACCCGGTGCAGGTAAATTGATTCCTTTCCCCTGGAAACTAGTTTGAATGCAGTAACCATTCATTCTCAAGCGAGAATGTAAGGGGGAGAAAACTGGCTTTGAGACACCTCTGGATGTTCATACCTATCACACCTAAACATGGACAAAGAAAATAATGATGCTGCATCTAAACCTGCTGATGTGAATGTAAGTACAGCAAGGGAAGTCTCTGGTACTCCCAGGCCATTTATTGCTGAGCCTGTTAGTAAAATAAGATGGAGTTACCTTATAAAAAGAAAGAGAAACAATAACGAAGTATTTTATCTTCCTCTGGTTCTTAATGGCGTTTATACATATGAGCTCGTTTTAAAGTGTGGTGGCTGGCAATAGATTTGCAGCTGTTTTTCTTAAACTCTAGGAAAATTGTACTGCACTCTACACAAATTCCACTTTAAAATTTAATCAATGCTAACTGAGACTGCCTGTAATGTGTTCTTGCATTTAAAGTCCCAAACTTAGCCTCGTCAGTTCATCATGTGCTAGCATTCTAGTGTGTTTTCTTCTTTTGTTTCTTTGGAGGAAATATCTGAAAGTGGTTTATTTTAGAAGCGAATTTTTTCCCCCTTAGAAAAAAGGGTCCTCCCTTCTGCAGGTCACTGCATTGAATGAGGTTCTGGTCTAGCTCAGTTTCTCTGGGAGGAATAAAAGCTACATTTCACTTCAAGAAGTTGACAGGGGTATTGGGCAAAAAGAAGAGAGAGTCATGAATAATTCAGAATGTACTTGGCCACATATTATCCCAGTAATTGGTAGGATTAAAGACAGGAAGACAAGTACCCTGAAGGGAAGAGAGAGGGAGAGTAAGAGAGAATAAGAGAACTCTTAGCTTGAAAGAGATTGTTTCTTTGGAAATGGTGATCTCGATTGTTGCCTTTAAAAGAATGTGTGTTTAAAAGTTATTTCATCAAGGGAGTTTAGTTACCCTGACATGAATAAATCTCTCCTTCAAAGAGCTAAACTCTTGCCTCAATTATTTATGAATTCACAGCATCAAATAGCGGGGGATGGGTAGGAGAAGGGAAATAAAAGGAAAACAAATAATGTATTTTTTATTTGGCACGTAAGTGCTTTTGACATTAATATACTAAAATAAATTTTATAATATCAGTTCATTCTTTGAATTAATTTTTAATTCGTTTTCATTGTGATTGAGAAACAACTGATCAATCCTCTGGTCTCTTAAAAGTGTACATATACAAACCAGTAGCAAAGCAAGTACTTTGATTTTTGTTGTACAGGTCTGCCCAAATCAACACCATTGTTAAAATTTTCTTCCTTGTTTGCTGGAGTGATGGTACAGTTTGCAAAGCATTTGCCTTGCACACGGCTAACTGGGGTTTAATCCCCAGCATCCCATATGTTCTCCGGAGCTTGCTAGGAGTGATCCCTGAGTGCAGAGCTAGAAGTGAGCCCTGAGCATCAGTGGCTGTGGCCCCCACACAAGCAATTGAGTTTTTCCCCCTCCCATTCAGTAAAGAAACCATAATTAGAAACTCAATTTATTTCATTGAGGAGCATATCTTTTCAATACCATCTTGTCCTAGAAAAAAAATTGCTGGTAGGAGAAAAGTTATATATTACAAACAATTAAAACACAAGCATGCTTCCTCACACTTGTTAATATTAAGTGGACCTACATAGAATTTTAATTCCTGATCTTCAAATACCTAAGTCTATATTCCCTGAGACTCAGGCCTGCCCTCTACCACGTCAGCAGAGTTAGAGAGTCGAGAAGAGGGCTGGGAATTATTTCACTAAGGTTCTTATAATGGCTTATTTCCTGATGTTGATTGTGTTATTTAATTCAAGTCCATTTTTTATGCTTCTATAAATAATTGGATTTACTTAGGACTTTGAGCATCAAGCACTCTTGACTGGGTGGTTCCATTTAAGTTTAAGGTTACTTCTAATTGATAATCTTTCTCTTTTTTTTCTAAAGATATCCAATATCTCAGTTCATGTGGTCAGTGCCCAGGGGAGGCTGCCTGGCAGACGACCACTGCGCAAACCCATCAGCAAAGCCAAACCCAGGAAGCAATCCAAGAAGAAAGCGACCTTCTGGAATGTCCAAAATAAAATCATCATTTTTACAGTATTTTTATTCATCCTAGCCGTCATAGCCTGGACACTTCTGTGGCTATACATTAGTAAGTTAAACTCGGTTTTCCTCAGGGCTGCAGCTTGTTCTGTACAGGCCTCCTGCTCAGCCCCTGAAGGTTTGGAATAGAATTTTCTTACTAGGGCTGAAGCGATAGTCCAGTGGGTAGAGCGTTTGCCTGGCATGTGGCAGGTCAGGGTTGGATCATCAACATCCCACATGGCCCTCCAAGCACCGCCAGCGGGTAATTGCTAGTGCAGAGCCAGAAGTAGCCCCTGAACATTGCCTGGTGTGACCCGAAAAAGAAAAAAGTATATACAAAAAAGAATTTTCTTACTAGCCACACTGGCAGGCATTTTGAAAATGTTTAAGGCTTAACGAGGGGAAAAAGCAAAATGATCTTTTCCGTTCCTTATTTCTCTTCTCCTATAGGAAAGCAAGATGAAGAGAGGCGAGGGGGGGGGAGGGGCAGGTTATCAGAGCTAAGGAGGATTCTTAGAGCTGGTAACTAGTTGGGACATACCAAGCACGGATAGCTTTAAAAATGGAACGGAATGCCAGGCTGTTTCATTTCCTCATCTACCCACCCACTCACAGACTGTTTCCAGGCAACCTTGCGCTTCCGCTGCTCCCTGAGCTCCATTTCACTCATGCATCTTTCTCTTTTTCTGTTTTTTATGTTCTTGATGATCTCATTGGTTATGTTTCTGTCCATCTGATAGATCCTTTGGGACAGGAGCCGTGAGCTCTTCTTATAGTGTCTTCCTTAATGCCACTCAGTGACCTAAGTTCATTTGTGGACTTAAATTGGACTTCCTGCCCTTCACAAGTCAATGTCCTTGATACAAGGTATGTGTAATCTCGAAGAAATTAAAATTTAGTTGGAAATCAGGCTTACAGGCAACTAAATAATTCTGTCTTGGACAGGTCCACATCAGCAAAACAACCCCTTCTAATCTGTATAGCACAAGATGAGGCCATACTGAGACGCTTCTTCGACTGTCAGGAAGCTCACAGATGCGTTTTCCACATTCAAAATTCTCACATTTCAGTACTTGAGAGGAAGTGTGAGTTGTGAGACTTTTAGTTTTTCCTTCGGTTAAAAGTAATTCCTTAGTAATCACAGATGAGGGGCAACCAACCACCCAGATTGAAGTCCAGAGAAAGATTCACAAACTGGTTCTTTAAAATTTGTTTGTTCACATTTGAATTGCTGACTAAGAACTGAATTTTTGAGGGGCATAGGAATTCGTGGTAGGCAAGAAAAGAACAATCTTCATCCTCAAGGAACTTTACAAACCAGTCGGGGAAGTCAAGTCAATGGACAATTATGGCAAAAAAAACACACACAACTTTAACTCAGAGCAAGCTACTTTCTCTCCCATCTGTTTTCTCTCAGCCCTCAGCGGGTTTGCACTGTCTTAGCACTTTTGTGTGAAGTTTTGGATTATGATTGAGCAGAAGGCAAGGGGCATTTCAGGGCCTTAGCGAAGGGAAACAGGTGTGAACAAGAACTGATCAACAAATAATAGAGGTTAGATCTGATACATGAAATTTGTGTGTTGAGGGGAGCCTCAAGAAATGAGATGGCCCACTCATTAGGAAGACCCTGCAGGTCCTCTTTGTGGGACCAATTTATTTTTAATTTTTTCTTAGTGAAACACCATGAGGTACAGTTGTAGACTTACAAGTTTTTGTGTTTGGGTTTCAATTATACAATGATTGAGTACCCATCCCTCCACCAGTGCCCATTTCCCATCTCCAATGCTCCCAGCATCCCTCCCACCCCCCAACCCCCACATCCTACCTCACCCCTGTGGCAGGGCATTCCCTTTTGTTTTCTCTCTCCTTTTGGGTGCTGTGGTTTGCGAAAGAGGTATTGAGTGGCAATCATGTTCGGTCTATAGACTTCTTTCAGCATGCATCTCCCATCCTGGGAGGATCCTCTCAACACCCTTTACTTGGTGCTCTCTTCTCTATCTGAGCTGCCTTTTCCCCTAGCATGTGTGGCTGGCCTCCAAGCCATGGAGTGAACCTCTTGGTACTTATCTCAGCTATTCTTGGATGTTAGTCTCTTATTTTATTACTTTATATTCCCCAGATGAATGCAATCTTTCTATATCTGACCCTCTCATTCTGAGTTATTTCGCTTAGCATGATACTTTCCATGTAGTACCACTTGTATGCAAATTTCATGACTTCATCTTTTCTAACAGCTACACAGTATTCCATTGTGTAGATGTACCAAAGTTTCTTTAACCAGTCACCTATTCTCGGGCATTCGGGTTTTTTCCAGATTTTGGCTATTGTGAACAGTGCAGCAATGAACATAAAAGTGCAGATGTCATTTCGACTATACTTTTTTGCATTTCCGGGATATATTCCCAGGAGTGGTATTGCTGGGTCAAATGGGAGCTCAATTTCTAATTTTTTGAGAATCGTCCATGCTGTTTTCCAAAAGGGCTAAACCAGTCGGCATCCCACCAACAGTGAAGGAGAGTCTCTTTCTCGCCACATCCGTGCCAACCCTGGTTACTTTTGTTCTTTTGGTTGTGGGCCAGTCTCTGTGGTATGAGATGATATCTTATTGTTGTTTTGATCTGCATCTCCCTGATGATTAGTGATGTAGAGCATTTTCTCATGTGCCTTTTAGCCATTCGGATTTCTTCTTTGAGAAAGTTTCTGTTCATTTCGTCTCCCCATTTTTTGATGGGGTTGGATGTTTTCTTTTCGTGGAGTTCAACCAGTGCTTTGTATATCCTTGATATCAACACCTTATCAGATGGTTATTGTATGAATATCCTTTCCCATTCTGTAGATTGTCTTTGTATTCTGGTCACTGTATCTTTTGATGTGCAGAAGCTTCTTAATTTAAAATTGTCCCATTGGTTTATCTCTGTTTCTACTCGGTTGGTCAGTGGAGTGTCGTCTTTGAAGATACCATTAGCCTCAATATCGTGGAGGGTTTTGCTGACCTTCTCTTCAGTGTACCTTATGGATTTTGGCTTGATGTTGAGATCTTTAATCCATTTTGATCTGACTTTTGTGCATGGTGTTAGGTCTAGATCTAAGCCCATTTTTTTGCATGTGGTTGTCCAGTTATACCAGCACCATTTGTTGAAGAGGCTCTCCTTGCTCCACTTCATGTTTCTTGCTCCCTTATCAAAGATTAGATGTTCATACATTTGGGGTTGTGTGTACTGTGGAACCAAATTAAGGTATTAAGTAACTGGTTTCAAGGCTAAATTCATGTCCTTTGCATAGTTATTCTCTGACTCAAGTACTTACTGAATATGATGCATTCTAGACTAATGACTAATGACTAAAAACATAGCATTCACTCATTTTAAGTTACTTTTGTTGCAATGGGCTGGAGCGATAGCACAGCGGTAGGGTGTTTGCCTTGCACGCATCCAAGATGACCGATCCGAGTTCGATTCCTCCGCCCCTCTCCGAGAGCCCAGCAAGCTACCGAGAGTATCTTGCCTGCACGGCAGAGCCTGGCAAGCTCCCCGTGACGTATTGGATATGCCAGACACAGTAACAACAAAGTCTCCAATGGAGATGTTACTGGGCCTGCTGGAGCAAATCAATGAACAACAGGAGGACCGTGACTGTGACCGATTTGTTGTAACAAAAAAGAAGAAAGAAAGAAAGAAAGAAAGAAAGAAAGAAAAAGGGAAGGAGGGAGGGAGGGAAGGAAGGAAGGAAGGAAGGAAGGAAGGAAGGGAGGGAGGGAGGGAGGGAGGGAGGGAGGGAAGGAAGAAAGGAAGAAAGGAATAAAGGAAGGAAGGGAGGAAGGAAAAGAAAAGAAAAGAAAAGAAAAGAAGAGAAATTTTAAATGTATTTCCCTGATAAAATTGAAAACAAAACAATTCTTTTACAAGGAAGGTCCTATGAGACAATGTTAATCTGAAAAATAAACCTAGACCAGGAGCTCAAGCTTCTCAGCACTTTACACTAGAGTGAAGGTGATCTGGGATGAATAGGTGACTGCTTCTATTTATACCATCTAGGTTGCACCTTCTTTTTTTTCATAATTTTTATTTATTTTTTTCTTCATATATTTATTTATTGAATCACTGTGGGAAAAGTTACAAAGCTTTCAGGTTTAAGTCTTGGTCATACAATGATCAAACGTCTTTCCCTTCACCAGTACTCATTTTTCACCACCCAGAACCCCAGTATACCCCCTCCTACCCCTCCCAATGTCTGTGAGGCAGATGATTTCTACTTAACTCTCTCTCTACTTTGATTACATTCATTATTTCGACAAAAGATGCACCATTATTATTTAGAATCCCCCCCCCCCCAACAATCAGAATTGCTGAAAAGGCATAGTGAAATACTTTGTTTTCTATAGCTGGTTATGAGAATCATTTAATGAGTTTGGATTTCTGCAAAGAGCTAGATAATTACGAGATTGGTTTCTGTGCATCTGGTGTTATGACTTGCTGGATTGCCGCTCGTGGGGGGCAACTCGTGACTTCGGCAGGGCTAGAAGGACAAGCCGGTACCATCCCCCTTCCCATGAGACTACAGTTGCCCCATCAACACCAGCTCATACCTGGCTTTCCTATAAGCTCTGAGGCGGCGGGTTGCACCTTCTTTCAAAAAATACTTTATCTAAATTGAGTTATCGCAGTTTATAATAAGACAATAATCATCCTAAAGTTGCACCGCACTGAACCAATCCCTCCACCAGTGACACCAGCCCTTCATCCCACAGTGCCTTCTCCATCTGCCCCTCGTCCTCTGGTGCAGGTTCTATTGTTCAAGTCTCAGGATTTGTTTCCACTGGGGATGGTCTGATCCCTTTCTTTGTTTATTTGTGCTTCATGCATATGAGCAAGATCATCTCTTATTTATCTTTTATTTTCTGACTCACATCACTCAGTATGACATTCTCCAATTCCATTCAAAATGCGGCTCATTGCAAAATTTCATCTTTTCTCACTGCTGAATAGTATTATATACATATATAATATATATATATACTTTTTTTTTTCTTTTTGGGTCACACCCAGCGATGCACAGGGGTTGCTCCTGGCACACGCACTCAAGAATTACTCCTGGCAGTGCTCGGGGGACCATATGGAATGCTGGGAATCAAACCTGGGTCAGCCACGTGTAAGGCAAATGACCTGCCCACTGTGCTATCGCTCTAGCCCCTATTCTGATATATACATATTTAATGGGCTGGAGAGATAGCACAGCAGGTAGGGCATTTGCCTTGCACGCGGCCGACCCAGCAAACCCGGGTCCGATTCCTCCATCCCTCTTGGAGAGCCTGGCAAGCTACCGAGAGTATCTTGCCCGCGTGAAAAAGCCTGGCAAGCTACCTGTGACGTATTCGATATGCCAAACACAGTAACAACAAGTCTCACAATGGAGACATTACTGGGCCTGCTCGAGCAAATTGATGAACAACAGGAGGACAGTGACAGTGACATACAGTGATATATATAAATCCCTATTCATATATATAGAGAGAGAGAGGGAGAGAGAAAGAGGGGGAGAGAGAGAGAGAGAGAGAGAGAGAGACATTACTGAAGCCCGCTCGAGCAAATCGATGAACAACGGGAGGAGAGTGCTACAGTGCTATGTATATATAGTGATTTCTCTATTCACTCATCTGTTGTTGAGTATTTGGGTTGTTGGGTTGTTTCAAGATATTGGATATTGTAAATATTTCTGTCATGAACATATGTCATTTCAGTTTTTCATGCATTGATCTCTCCTAGTATTTCCATGTGCTGGACATTATGTAGCACTGTAGCACCGTCACACTGTCCTCCAGCTGTTCATCAAGTTGCTCGAGCGGGCCCAGTAATGTCTCCATCGTGAGACTTGTTGTTACTGTGTTTGGCATATTGAATACACCACGGGGAGCTTACTAGGCTTTGCCGTGGCAGCGAGATACTCTCGGTAGCTTGCCAGTCTCTTCGAGAGGGGTGGAAGAATCGAACCCGGCTCATCCGGGCCAGCCGCGCACAAGGCAAACACCCTGACGCTGTGCTATCTAACATTATGACAAGAGAGAATGTTTTTGCCTTTTCCATATCCCTTCTTCCCGTCCTTCCCCACAAAAACTTATTTCCTGAGTCTCAGCTGAGGCTCATTGTGGCTCAATTCTCTACACACTTCCCAAAGTTGAGGTGCAGTCAGCGTCCTGGACAGCAAAAATCTGACAGGCTGAGCTCCCCGAAGGTCAGCTGAGGCCTCTTCCTCTGCTCCCACTGTGCCCACTTCACCTCAGGCTTCCATGCACACATTTCTTGGTGTCTGAGATAATGCAGCAAGTTGGGAGCTTGCCTTGTAAGTGGCTGACCTGGGTTTGATCTCTGGCACCCGATGCAATGCCTTGAGCCCCTCTAAGAGTGATTCCTAGAACAGGAGCAGGAGTAAGCTCTGAGCACCACTGAGTGTGGCAATTAAACACGCATACTTTTCTTACATCCTTATCTTCCACAGCCATGAGATCATGAAAACGGTCTCAGTTCATTTTGACCCTGAGCAACTCTAGGACGCAAAATGGGTTTTATGCTTTTGGATTTGAATCTTGCTCTCTTATGTAACTGCCAGAATTTCTTAGAACAGCATACTGTGAAGAATATGGTGATTTACTGTTGATGGAAGAGAAGCTGCTGGTTATTAAATTCAGAGAGCTGGAGAGAGAATACAGTGGATGAAGTTTTTGCTTTGCATGAAGCTGACCTGTGTTTGATCCCTGGTATCCTATATGGTCCCCTGAGCCCTGCCAGGATGATCCCAGAGTGTAGAGCCAGGTGTAAGGCTTGAGCATGGCAGAGTATGGCCCAGGCAAAACAAAATAATAAAATTAATAATATTAAAATAATATATTTAGGGGGTGGAGCAATAGTATGGTGAGTAGGGTGTTTGCCTTGGCCGTAGTCAACCCAGGTTTGATCCCTGGTCCCCCATAGGGTCCTGTGAGCCTAACCAGGAGTGACCCCCAAATGCAGAGCCAGAAGTAAGCCCTAAGTGCTACTGGGGGCATCCCAAAACAAAATAAGTAAATTAAATACACTTAAAGAAATATATTCAGGGGCTGGAGTGATAGCACAGCAGGTCGGGCGTTTGCCTTGCACGCGGCCAACCCAGATTTGATTCCCAGCATCCCATATTGTCCAATGAGCCCCCCAGAAGGGATTCCTGAATGAAGAGCCAGGAGTAACCCCTGCGCCTCTCCCAGTGTGACCCAAAAAGCAAAAAAAGAAAAAAGAAAAAGAAACAGAAAGAAATATATTCAGAACTTTCCAGGGTGTAAACTAGTCATGTACATAGCTGCCTAAAGGAAAATTAATTTATAAGCCTAATTCTGAGAGCAGACATTGCCAGATAGCATTGCCTGCCAGTGTCCTGACTGCTTCTCTCCTGTCTTACAGGTAAGACAGAAAGCAGAGACGCTTTCTACTTTGTGGGAGTGTTTCGAATAACCAACATTGAGTTTATTCCTGAATACCGACAGAAGGAGTCCAGGGAATTTCTGTCCGTGGCAAGAACAGTGCAGCAAGTGGTGAGGTGATGGGATAGGTGGGGGCAGGCTGGGGAAAGTGGGGTCAGTGGGTTGAAGGGACGGGAATTTCGGGGTCACAAGCGTCACAGAACCAGGACAAACCAATGAGTAGGGGAAATAAAAGATTTAACTCATCTTGTCTATGAAAATTGCCCATTTGATAATATTGCCAATGTATTTCTTTAAGAAATAGCTTGCAGGACTTTCGGTTTTGCTCTGAAAATTATACTGGGAGCTCTTTAAAATTCTTTCCAGAACAGGGGTTCTATGCACGCTGATAATCTGTGCACACTCCCAAGGCTTCTCTTCACTTAGAGAATTTCTCACAAAATTAATATGTACACATTATAAACATTTACAAAACTCAGACACAGGAAATAGCACCATACTGTAGTGTTAGCACTGTATAGTATTGGATATTATAACCTGATTTTCTGTCTAAATGTTAGGTTCAAATAGTACAGCGGATAGGGTGTTTGCCTTGCACACGGCCAACCTGGGTTCGATTCCTCTGTCCCTCTTGGAGAGCCTGACCAGCTACCGAGAGTATCCCACCCTCATGGCAGAGCCTGGCAAGCCCCCCGTGGCATATTCGATATGCCAAAAACAGTAACAAGTTTCACAATGGAGACATTACTGGTGCCCGCTCGAGCAAATCAATGAACAATGGGAGGACAGTGCTACAGTGCTTGCTTTTTGGGTCACACCCAGTGATGCTCAGGCTCTGCACTTAGGAATTAATTCTGGCGGTGCTCGGGGGACCATATGGGATGCTGGGATTCGAACCCGGGTCGACCATGTGCAAGGCAAACAAACGCCCTATCCACACAGTGCTATGGCTCCCACCTCATTAGGTTCAAATTTCTGTGCATATAGTTAGTCTTTAGTTAAACTAAATCTCAATAGCTATAAAGTTAGTTATTTCCATTTTATTTGACATTTAGATTGCTTCCAGCTTTTTCTACTCTAAGCAGTGTTGCAGTGAAACTGTTATATAAATTGTGTTTACCTCTGATACGTCCTTGGGTATAAAAGCATTATTGCTCAAATAAAAAAGAAAACGTTGATTCATGGCTTTTGGCATATACAACCAACTAGAAAATGTCTACCAATCTATCTGCATGTCAGTGGTGAGTGTGGCTTGCACGGGGTGACACTAAGGCACTCAGTGACAGATATACAGCTTGGAGGATGAGGGAGGCTGTGGGGGACAGCACTGGCCCTTCTGGATGGAAAACCTCAGTGATCCAGGTACATGGTTATGCCCCTTCCCTTCAATTTATATCAGCCATTCCGCAAAGATAAATATTTTGATCCCTATTTTGAAGATTTAGAAAAGAAAGCAAACACTGGGAGCTCAGTATGCAATTTTTGGCATTGTGCTGTATGATTTCTAAGTCATTTTTTTCTCCTCTCCTGGGCAATTAGGTGGGTGACTTGACTGTTTTCTAAGAAGAAAAATTCAGGAGGAGACAAAGATTTGGCAAAAGTCAGTTTGGGTTTAGAAATTCTAAGCAAAAGCAAAGAAAATAAATGGAAATAGCTCTCTTCTGGGATGACGGCATTATGAAAGGGCTGAGTGCTTCCACCGAGATGGAGAGTTGGGAAAGGGGATGGGAGGCGACTGTGGGCAGCACTGCCACCTAGTGGCGAATACAGGCCTGTGTCCTTAACAATAAGTTCAATGCAATGCAGCAATTAAAAGAAAAGCCAAATGCTTTGAAAATAGGTCTAATGATGTTTAATTGAGAGAGAGAGAGAGAGAGAGAGAGAGAGAGAGAGAGAGAGAGAGAGAGAGAGAGAGAGAGAGAGAGAGAGAGAGAGAGAGAGCGAGAGAGCGAGAGAGAGAGAGAGAGTGAAGAAAAAGGGCTGGAGCAATAGCACAGCGGGTAGGGCGTTTGCCTTGCACGCGGCCAACCCGGGTTCGATTCCCAGCATCCCATATGGTCCCCTGAGTCACCGCCAGGGGTGATTCCTGAGTGCAGAGCCAGGAGTGACCCAAAAAGCAAAAAAAAAAAAAGAGTAAAGATGTTTGATAATTAATTGTGCAGAAGATTATTTTGTGGTATGCAGAATATAGAAATTCACCTTTATTTAGTACTTATGGGTGAAAAAAATACCCTTGGAAGTATGCAAAACACAGAACTGAAGCTCAATCAGTATGTTTTTACAGCTAGCAATAGATGAAGGTAACCGGATATTCTTCACTGATGAAAGAATTAAAGATGTTAACAAAGACTGCTAGAAGAATCACTGATTTATCTGAACCCAGTAAATATAAAGATGGTGCCTTTTGTTTGAGCCTTGCTTTTCTCGTTGCTCGTAGTCAGGCCTGGGCTTACAGCATATGAACTTCCTTAAAGGAAGGCAACTATGAAAGGTTTCTGATACCTCAGTTCTTCTTTTGCAGGTAGACCTGGTTTATACAACATCTGCCTTCTCCAAATTTTATAAGCAATCTGTTGTTGCAGATGTCAGGTAATATATGCCCTTTCCCTCAAAATCCTTATGCTTACTGCTATAATTTCTTCTCAAGACTAGAAGGGCTAAAACATGACCCTTCTCAAACAAAATTTTTGGTGTTTGTGAGTTAATACTATTTTATCCATAGAGAGCCAACTCTACCTATTTCACTCTGAGTCTTTCTCTTCATCTAACAAACCCTGATTTCTTTTTCTCTCTTCCTCTCTCCTCCTCTCTCTCTTTGTCTCTGTCTGTCGCTCTCCCCCCCCCCCCGCCCCCCGCAACTCTCTCTGAGACTGGAACTGGTCATGTCTCCATGTGAATGGGCAAAAGATCATAAGCCGTTATATAACTGTCACTGTCACTGTCCTCCTGTTGTTCATCGATTTGCTCGAGTGGGCCCAGTAACGTCTCCATTGTGACAATTGTTACTGTGTTTGGCATATCAAATACGTCACAGTTAGCTTGCCAGGCTTTGCCGTGCAGGCAAGATACTCTCAGTAGCTTGCCGGGCTCTCTGAGAGGGGTGCAGGAATAGAACTGGGGTCTGCCATGTTGGCCACTTGCAAGGCAAACGCCTTACCCAATGTGCTATTACTCAAGCCCAAGCCGTTCTGTAAAGTAAGACTAAAATGAAACAGAATATTATTTCTCAAAATATGTTCAATAAGAAGTCAGAGCAACAGTACAGTGGGTAGGGCATTTGCCTTGCATGCGTCTGAGCCAGGTTTGAAAACCGGCATCCTATGTGGTTCCCTGAGCATCACCAGGAATAATTTTAATTATTTAATAATTTAATAATTATTTAATAATTTTTAATTACATCACCAGGTGCGGCACAAAAACAAAACACATGTTCAATACAAAACCGGTCTCTAGAGAGCTTTTGAGAAAAAATGGAATCAGTCAAATAATTTTTTAAAAATATTTATTTATTTATTTTTGCTTTTTGGGTCACGCCTGGATTGCGTGGGTTACTCCTGGGGTTACTCCTGGCTCTGCACTCAGGAATTACCCCTGGCGGTGATCAGGGAACCATAGGGTTTGCTGGGAATCGAACCCGGGTTGGCCGCGTGCAAGGCAAACGCCCTACCTGCTGTGCTATTCCTCCAGCCCAGTCAAATAATTTTTTGATGAAGGAAAGACTGTTTGCTGAACCCCACTTTTCTCACCAACATATATTTGCAAAGAATTATATTCCATTTGAGCATATTGTAGATACTTAAAACTCTTATAAGAATAAGGTATTTTGTTAACTTTTGATTTCACAAATTATTTGCTACAGAGTTCTACCTGATGTGTCTTTCATAAACTATGACATTGTGTTGCTATGAGGCCTAACTACAGACTAAAAGTCAAATTGGATGAAGTTCCTGGATTTGCTGTTTTTTAGCTGTGTGGCATTGAGCTATATTGATTTTAATTTGCCCACTGGTAAAATTGGAATTACAGTAAAGCACTATTTTTCCACATAATATTAGTCATGATTTAGCATAGTGAGTTATCAAAAATTAAAACTGCTGTTATTTCTCATGACAGTGAATACTGATTAACATCCACAGATAATTTATTTTTATGAAGATGTAGTCAGTGACATAACAGTTTTAGGTTTATATATAGCACAGAAATTGCACCCTTATGTTTTCCTATCAAGTCCCCACAACAGCAATTAGTAACTTTCTAAAGAAGGAAGTTTGGTCAAAGGATGTGTTCACAGGGCTATCTGTTGGGTCACTGAGAAAATAAAAATCTGCTTCCTGAGAGGTATTCTCTTTTCACTATAGCAGCAACAACAAAGGTGGCCTGCTTGTCCATTTTTGGATTGTGTTTGTCATGCCACATGCCAAGGGCCATATCTTCTGTGAGGACTGTGTGGCTGCCATCTTGAAGGACTCCATCCAGACAAGCATCATTAACAGAACCTCTGTGGGGAGCTTGCAGGGTCTAGCAGTGGACATGGATTCTGTGGTACTAAATGGTGAATGCTGGGTATTTCTACTTGAAGAGTTCCTTTGGATAGTACTCCTGATACTGCTATTATCATGGTCAATAGGAGGAAAGATGTCACTGTCACTGTCACTGTCCTCCCGTTGTTCATCGATTTGCTCGAGCGGGGCCCGGTAACACCTCCACCATGAGACTTTGTTGTTACTGTGTTTGGGATATCGAGTACGTCACGGGGAGCTTGCCAGGCTCTGCCGTGTGGGCGAGATACTCTCGGTAGCTTGCCAGGCTCTCCGAGAGGGGTGGAGGAATCGAACTCGGGTCAGCCATGTCGCTCCAGCCCAGTAAAGATGTATCTTACACAATTGCAGTGGAACAAAATTAACTGAAAACTGAAGTTGTGTTTGCAAAGGAGATTGTTAAATTTTATATGCAGTGACTGGAAAATAGAATTGGGGTAAAATTTTGGGCAACTAAATTTATTACATATGCTCCTCCCTTTGTTTAATTGGATTTCATACATCTTCAAACTAAGACTCCAAGTATCAAAGTCCTGGAAGAGGAATAATTGTTTTCAGAGGTTTATTTTGTCTCTTCCCTTGTCCAGGCAGAACTGAATTTATTTTGTAGTACGGTCCTGTGCTCTAAAAAGACTGTTCTAGTGTCCTTTCAAAATGTAATGTACCATTTTTCTTGACAGTAAGATAATTTGCTGTACAATCCAGAATTTATGCAGCTTTGTCTTTTTAATTAAATTATATACTGCTAAGCATGTAGTGGGTGACTAAAAGCATTTGTTAAATGAATTATATAAGTTTCTAGTGGAAAATTCCATTCTACATATATTGTTTCAGATAGAGGACTAATATAATTTGCTTGATTGCCTTTTTATCTTTAAAAATATCTTATAACTGAGCTGGAGAGATAGTACAGTGGGTAAGGTTCTTGCTTTGCATGCAGCGAGCTCAAGTTGAATCCCCAGTTGCACATATGGTCACCCAAAACCACCAGCACTGATTCCTAAGCACAGGGCCAGGAGTAAGTCCTGAGCAGTGGTAGGTGTGACTCACGCCACGCCCCCCCCCCCCACACACACACACCCCTCACCCAAAAAAATCTTAAATCTTGTTACTTTGAATTATTTCAAGCAAATAAAAATAAGGAGAATAGTATAGTGGAATCTTATATTCCCTCCACACAGCTTTATTAACTCTTAGTGCATAGACGTTTTATTTTATTTCTAAATACCTGTGAGATATTTCTTAACTAGATTATTTTAAAGCAAGTCACAAATATGTCAAATTGCTTTGATTAGATTGAATGTAAGTTGCTAAATTCTAACAAAATAAAATGCTGTGACTAATGTCTTCTTTTCTTGCTTTTTTTTTTTTTAATTACAGCGGGTCTTCGGTCAGATTACTCTTCAACCATAGGATCTGGTAAATTATACCATACGGTTTCTATCCTTCATGTAACTCCCCTTCAAATTGATATCTTTTTGGGCTACAGTCTTCCTTTTAATTGATGATATTTGTTAAGATTTTCACTTTTAAATGACAGAAATTAACTGACTTAAGCTCAAAAGGAGTTTCATTAATTTATATAACTGGTACATATGAGGTTTCCTTTTTATAATTTAATCCATGAGTGGATGCAGGTCCTAAGGTAAATGATCAGGAATTTGCATTTATTTCTTTTTGTGAGGCTTTATCAACAGCGTCTTTCAAATATGGTGGCATGGATGATTGCTAGCAGATCCAAGCTTATAACTGCCAGTTTAGCAACCATCCTGAAAACAAAATCATATGTACTTCCTTGGTAGTTCCTGCAGAAATCTTGAGATTGATAAACTGATTTGCACTGATTGCCTTGAACCAACACCTTTGGCTCTGATTGGCCAGAACATGTCATGCAATTTCAGAGTCCCTTTAAGACCATCCACACCATATGGACAAGGTAGGGCCAGTTTCCCAAAAGAAATCGAGGTGTTGATTCTAGAAGAGAGGAGCATGTACTCCAGAAGGGCAAAGAAACGCTCTCCATGAATGGAACCAAGCAGGGTTTCTATATCCACAGATAAAGGCTGTTCTCAGTATTTCTATGCCGATGACCCATCTCTCCATTACCCTGTGGAAGTCTCTGCCACCTCGGGGAGGCTGATGTGCCACTTCAAGCTGGTAGCTGCTGTGGGCTATCTGATTCGTCTCTCCATTGAGTCCGTCCAGATTGAAGCTGACAACTGTATCACGGACTCCTTGACTATTTATGATTCCCTCTTGCCAATCCGGAGCACCGTCTTGTATAGGTAGGCACGCCTTGCACGCGGCCACCTGGGGTTCGATTCCTCCGTCCCTCTCGGAGAGCCCAGCAAGCTACCGAGAGTATCCCACCTGCATGGCAGAGCTTGGCAAGCTCCCTTGGTGTATTCGACATACCAAAAACAGTAACAACAAGTCTCACAATGGAGATGTTACTGGACCCACTTGAGCAAAATGATGAACAATGGGAGGACAGTGACAGTGACAGTGAATACTCAGAAGATCAAAGAGAGACCAATGCTCATCTTAAACAGAGTCTATCAGACCCACTGTGTGGTGTACAAGGTCAGAAACAGAACAGCAGATCTTTGGCTGTATTTTTGAAGTAGAAGGGTTTTTTTGTTTGTTTAATTTCACTTTTATGCAATCACAGTGATGAGTATTGTTTCAGTAGGGTATGCTAAAAGTTTTTTTGTGCTAATTGCAGAGTAGGAGCAAAACAATATTTTCCTTATTATAAAGATAAGCCATTATCCATTGTGGAAAGTGAAGTCAATAAGAGAAAAACAATTCTTTCATAACTCCATTACCCAAATAAATACCTGAGGTATTTTTGCATAAAATAATATATACAAATATGTATGCTTAATATATCACAATCACAATCACAACCATCCTGTTATTCGTCGATTGCCTTGAGCAGGCCCCAGTAACGTCTCCTTCGTCCTAGCCCTGAGATTTAAAAAAAAAAGTGCCATATTCAAGGCTCTTTCAGAGTTAGGAGAATGAGACCCTTCATTGTTACTGGTATTTGGCATATTGGGTACGCCACGGGGAGTTTGCCAGACTCTGCCGTGTGGGCAGGTTACATTCGGTAGCTTGCCAGTTTGTCCAAAGTAGGAATGAGATGATAAGATGATAAGGTGATAAGATGTTGCTCAGCTTCCGGGAGCTGAGTGTGATAATCTCTGGATCCTGGCCGTTGTTGGGGTTACACGGCAGTTGGTGGGTGTAACTGTCTAACTACTGGCAGGTCCAGTCCCAAACTGTGCAGGCTTGGAGATCTCAGCCCTGAGTCCCACAGACCTGGGTTCCTCTGCCAGTTCTTTTATGCGTGAGGCTCATCCAAGTGTGTGGAGAGTGGTCCCAGCATGGCCTTGTCTGGGGCCCGGAGGTCTTCAGCAGTTGAGCCCTAGTGAGGCCAGTCAGGCACAGGGTAGGAGACTCTGCCTTGTTCTCTCCCGGGAGCTTGGTGTGATAATCTCTGGATCTTAATATATAAGCTCTAATATATTTTATTTGCTATGTATATACATTTATGAGTACTTAATATTTTGATAATCTAGGACTGACAAACTTTATTAAGAATTTACTATTTGCTAGTGCTTAAACGAGGTGCATGAATTACCTTACTGTTTTAATAGTGTTTTGTGTACCCACATTTTTGGTAGATAAATTTACATTTTAACAATGCATGTACCATGTTAAATATTCACTAAAGTCAATAAAAAGTTTTTTAAAAGTTGATAAGGCTATGCAAGTCAAAATCAGTCTGTTGCTGACTCATTTTCTACAATAATTTTTATTGGTCTCTTTTCATCCTCCAAGCCAGGTTTAGTTATCTCATTTATTCTTTACAACAATGTCATGAGGAATAACGGCTGCTATTTCTGTTATGTCATAGAAGGGAAACTAGTATTTATAAAGATTTAATTTTCTGGTTGTCTAGAGTCTTTTAGTCAGTTAAGTGGCAGATCTGAGTTTTGAGTGCAGTTTAATCCTAGTGCAAGTCTATGGCTTAAAGGAGAACCCAGAGATGCTCATACAGGAGAATTTATTGCTATTTTCCATAACTTTATTAACTCCCCTTCCTGTATTGTGTCTGTGGCTACCAATTGATGAAATACTTGCTGGGAGAACTGAATTTGACTCATAGTAACTCTGGAGGGTCCAGGAAACACACAGAATTAGTGGTGGGTAGAGGCTATGCCTAAATTATCTATTAGTCATGTGTTTTAATTTTCTTATCTGGTTACAGAATTTGTGAACCAACAAGAATATTCATGTCTTTTGTTTCCACCAATAATCATATGTTGGTGACATTTAAGTCTCCTCAGATACGAATGCTGTCAGGAATCCGGGCATATTTTGAGGTCATTCCAGAAAAAAGTAAGTTTCTCTCCTAAAGAAAAAATAAAAGTCCCTTTTAGAAATATTTGGTATGATACTTCAGTTTGATTTATCCCAAGACCGTGTTGTCATTCATTGCATTAGTCAGGAATCCTGACTCAGAGTTCAGTCAGAAAAGCAAAATGATCCTAGTTTTTCTAACAGAGAGAAATTAAGATAAACTACTGTTTAACGCAATATAAAGACTTTGATTTGGTAAATGCAAAGGTGAACCAACCAACTGTAAGTCATCAAGGCTCTAACATCTGTAAATCACTTCAAGGTGAAAAATGGTTGGAATGTTTAGAATTTAGAGCTTGGAGGAGGAAGTTTGTGCAATGGAACTCAGCTCACTGAGGTCTCACTACTAAGCTTTGCTGCTATCTCAGAGATCAGAGGCAGTTATGCACTTAAGACTCCACAACTCTGAGGCTGGGTGCAGGCTGCTGAGCGTGTTTTTGAGGGAGAAGCAATAAAGTAGAAGGTGGGAAATGGGTTGATAGGATTCAACCCAACCCAGGTGCAGGAAGCAAGTGTAGTTGCAGAGGGAAGTGCCGGCTTCTCTCTCCATTTTTAAATTTTCCTTTAGTCTCCCTTATTGGCACAGCCTCAGGTAAAAAGGGAAAGAGAGTCCCAACCTCAGCATCCTAAAACATAGTATGAAAGAAGGTTTGGGGGTGAGAAGTAGTAATATCTTAGCAGCTAATTCACTAGAACCATCCCCCTAAATTCACATTTAAAGTACATGTTTGTGAATACCATTTTAGAAAATACCTGCTCAACACCCAAAAGGAGAGAGAGAACAAAAGGGAATGCCCTGCCACAGAGACAGGGTGGGGTGGGGGTGGGGGGGGGTGGGAGGGATACTGGGATCAGTGGTGGTGGAAAATTGGCACTGGTGGAGGGATGGGTACTCAATCATTGTTTAATTGAAACCCAAGCACAAAAATTTGTAAGTCTACAACTGTACCTCATGGTGTTTCACTAATAAAAATTTTTTAAAAATGCCTGCTGATTCCAAAGAGAGGGCTTAATAGCTTTTTTTTTAGTCAGAAAGCAAGTGAAAAAGGACCTCCCCTTCATTTTTCCTTTTTGATTTAGCTTGATGAAGTAAAACAAAACAAACCAAAGGAAAACCAAACCAAACCAAGCCAAACCAAAAAAGGCCTGAGCTGAAAAGCCAGGGTTTTGTAAGTTTGTTGCCTTGCAAATGATCAGATCTCCCAAGTCCTGGTAATTTGATTGTATTGTAAACCATAGTGCCTAAAATTTAAAAAATTGGGAAAAAAGTGCCTGTCATAGATTCAGGCAGGGATTGGATGGGAAACAGGATAGGCATTGATAGAGGAAAGTTGATAGTGATGAAGAGATTGGAGCTGGAATAATATATCCCTGATACTCAACTAGGAGTAATTTTGTCAATCATGATAGTTTAATAAAAAAATTTTAAACAAAAAGAGTAATAAAATGTATTATTTTCAAAAGGAGAATGACGTGAACTGGGGCAATAATACAGGTAGTAGAGACTTTGCCTTGCACGCAGCAGACCAAAGGTTCATCCCTGGCATCCCATATGGTCCTCCTAGCACTGTAAGAAGTAATTCCTGAGTGCAGAGCCAGGAGTAACCCCTGACCATCACCGGGTGTGACCCCAGAATCCAAAAAGCCAAAAAAAAAAAAGGATGCCCTTGTCAAAAATCCAGCAATTGTATGGTACAGTAGTTAAGTGCTTGCCTTACATGTGACCCTACACGTACACATGACCAACCTAGGCTGGACTCCCAGCACTGCATATAGTTCCCTAACCGCCGCCAAAAGTGATCCTTAAACACACAGTTAGGAGTAAGCCCTGAGCAATGCCTGGTATGACCCCTGCAACCTCCTGCCTTCAGAGAAAGGCTATGATCAATAAAAATAAACATCTGAGGCAGGACAGGGGGCATAGGGGGGTGGGGTGGGATGAGGTAGTGGAGAGATAGTACACAACTGTTAGATTGTTTATCTTGCATGTGTCCAACCTAGGTTCAATGTCTGACACACTACTTGGTTCCCTGAGAACCCTTAAGAGTAATCGCTGAGTGCAGGGCAAAGATTAGTTCCTGAGTACTTCTGGTATGCCATCCCCCCCAACCCCCCAAAGAATAACCATTTAGAAGACCTTATTTATTTATTTATTTATTTATTTATATATTTTCGCTTTTGGGGTCACACCTGGTGATGCACAGGGGTTACTCCTGGCTCTGCACTCAGGAATTACTCCTGGCGGTGCTCAGGGGACCATATGGTATGCTGGGAATTGAACCCGAGTCGGCCGGTGCAAGGCAAACGCCCTGCCCTCTGTGCTATCTCTCCAGCCCCTAGAAGACCTTATTTAAACACAACAAAATGTTATGTAAACTGGTTGTATTTTCTTCAACAATAAAAATTCATTTGAAAAAATAAGTGTAGCAATTTAAATGTATATTTGGTGCCAGAGCAATGGAACAGTAGCAGAGAAATGGCACACAGCTGGGGTTCCATCCCTGGCATCCTATATAGTCACCTGAGAATGGCCAGGAGTGATCCCTGAGCGCAGAGCAGAGAATAATCCCTGAGTGCAGAGCCGGGAATAATCCCTGAGCCCAGATCCAGGAGTAATCCCTGAACACAGCTGGATGTGACCCAAAAGCAAATGATGACAACAAAAAATATATATGCATGTAGATGTATATAGATGGATAAACTATGTCTTTAAAGAAAGTGATGAATGCTATAAATCTGTAGTCACAATTATACAGCAACTGCTGGATTAGCAGTACCACATCATGGCTCCGAGAATTGAACTAACTAGTCTGGTTCATCGTGTATTGCCAGAAGTGGCCCCCATTTGCCCCAAGTACTGCTTATATTTACTTGAAAACAATTATAGAATTTTAGCTAGGTGTTCCTATACACCTGTGCATACTATTTCTTTTGAAAAATGAGTTAAAATTGAAAAATGCAAACTTATTGAAAAAAAGTGTGAATGTCTCTGTGCAAAAAAGGAGTGCTGAAAGGAGGTAACGTGATATCCATGGTAGCCTTCCAATAACAGTACTGCAAAGCACAGTGCCTAAAAGGAAAATAAGAGAGAGAGAGAAAGAGAGAGAGAGAGAGAGAGAGAGAGAAGTGTTTGCTATAGAGGCAGGCTGCAGGTCAGGGTGAGAGAAGGCTGGTAGGAGTGAAACTGGGGACATTTGTGGTGGACAATGTGCATTGGGTGTCAGAATGACTGAAACTCAGCCATGACCAACTTACAGCTGCCTATCTCTCGGTAATTAAATTAAAAAATGTCATGTATATTTAAAAAGTATGAATTTGCACTAAAATATATGTTCGGTAATTCACATAGTTCCATGAATGTAAATAATTTTGTTGCTGGATTTTTTTTTCAGAGTGTGAAACTACAGTATTGGTCAAAGAAATCACTGGCTTTGAAGGGAAAATTTCAAGTCCATACTATCCAAGCTATTATCCTCCAAAGTGCAAGTGTACCTGGAAATTTCAGGTAGCCTCATTTTATCAGTACCTTAGAATATTTTTTCTATTATTTAACTGGTATTATTTAGTAGCAGTTAATTTTTGAATATTAACACATTCATTTTATTTTATTTATTATTTATTTAGTTTTATTAGTGAGACACCATGAGGTACAGTTGTAGACTTACAAATTTTTGTGCTTGGGTTTCAGTTATACAATGATCAAATACCCATCCCTCCCACCAGTGCCCATTTCCCACCACCACGGATCTCAGTATCCCTCCCACCCCCCATCCCTCCCATTCCACCCTGCCTCTGTGGCAGGGCATTCCCTTTTGTTCTCTCTCTCCTTTTGGGTATAACACATTCATTTTAAATGCAAGAATATTATTTATGTCATACTATTTAAACATATTACATACTGCATTAATATCTAAGCATTAATATACATGTAATTTAAAATAATATGAATGTTCCCTGTAATTTCAATCCTTTCTCCACAAATCGGGCTGGAGCGATAGCACAGCGGTAGGGCGTTCGCCTTACAAGCGGCCAACATGGCCGACCCGAGTTCGATTCCTCCGCCCCTCTCGGAGAGCCTGGCAAGCTACCGAGAGTATTTGATATGCCAGACACAGTAACAACAAAGTCTCCAGTGGAGACGTTACTGGGCCCGCTCGAGCAAATCCACGATCAACGGGAGGGCCTTTACCTTTACCTCCACAAATCAAGTGCTCTTTGCCGACTGGGGATTATTTTGCCAATCTATTATTTTGCTATATATTTTTAAAATCAAAGACATTGTTATTGAATTTTATTACAAGTGGAACTGATTTATCAATTCTCTTGAACTTAAAAATGAAATCAGTCCTATTTACTAACTCCCTTTATAATCTGAAAAGGATTAACTGTTGCTCCATCTTAAAGTGCACTTGATTTTTCTCCCAATCTCCTTTGTTCATTCAACAAACATTTTTTGGATGTCTGTTAGTTATGCCTCAGGCATCACTTAAGATTGTCTGTTAAGCCTGAGGCATCACATTTAGTGGCAAGGCATAAAAAGGCCTTATGTAGTTTGTAGATTATAGAGGAATAAGGAGCAATAAAATAGATAAAATGCAAAAGGGTTTATAACCAGTTTTCTATATTTGTTTAGTATTTTAGTGTATTTTGTATACATAGCTATTTGCTCTCCAAGGTAAAGAACTCCAATATAGAGAAACATTTGCCACACTTTATAAATATGGAAAACAACAGAAGTAGTGGGCACTCAAATAGGAGAGAGTGAGATGGAAATGACCCTTGACTTTCTTATAAATAAACTCAATACACCCTCTTTCCTGTGTTTTAAAAATATTCAGCTTCTTCATGTTTTATAGAATAATGTTTCGTTCTCTAACATTATTGAAGGACTATGATATTAAGTACTTTCTTATATAATTAAGATATAATTAGAAAACTTGAAAATGGCAAATAAAATTCTGCCTGAAAAATGAAAGAACTGAGGTAAAGTGAGAATTAAAACTGTACGTGGCATATCAGACATAATTTATGTGCCTGACACACAATGTCATAAAAGACGTGAGTGTGTGTGTTTGCGTGCTCATACACTCACTTAACCATATACAGGATAGATGGTTCTTTTCTTATTTGATCTCTTCTAAGAAGAGCAAGTGGTGACTCAATCAATGCCTTCAGAAATATCAAGGTTTAATATGCAGAGCATGCTGATTCATTTTCCTAATCTAAAGAATCTGAGTAATGTTTTAAATAAACTATGTCACTTTTGTCTTGGCTAAAGGAAATTGTGTAGACTCACTAATGAGCCAGTGTTGAGGAGTTAAACTGAATAATAGAAGAAAACTGAAATCGGTAGATGACACATAAGTCTCATACTTTCTAACTTAAACTGTGATCTCACAGGCTGTCTACTATCTGTCATGCTCTACTACTCATTCTAGTCTGTTCAGTAGAGCTGTCTACCCCACAAAAGAGGTAGAGCATAAGGCAGAGAGAAAAAAAAATCCTTCAAACAGCAAGCCAAGCCAGGGATGTGACACAGAGCTCAGAGGTAGAACACATGTCTTGCATGTGTAAGGAGCAAACCATAGGAAGAAACTAGAAACTTCAGGGGAAAGATTGTAAAACATGTCCTTCATTCCTTGAGTTGAAGTTTGTTTTTTTTTTAAACTTTTCCTTGTTATTTTCATAGACTTCTCTATCCACTCTTGGCATAGCACTGAAATTCCATAATTATTCAATAACCAAGAAGAGCTTGAAAGGCTGTGACCATGGATGGTGGGAAATTAATGAACACATGTAAGTAGGAATCTGATGAAAGGTTTCTTATACTGGGTTGATGGTTCAATGCAAAACTCCCAGGATGTGGTGTTGAAGAGGCACTATGGTGCCAGGGGATTATTACCAAGCCAACAAGGGATGTCTGTGGTGCTCAGGGGTATCAATGTGATGTTTGGTACTGAGGATAGAACTGCAATTGACATCATATAAGACACTTGCCTTACTTCCTGGACTATTTGTCCAGCCTGGGGGTTGATAAAAGATTGCTTTGAAGATATATATGCATATATATGTATTTCCCTTCCCTTATTGTTTTTATGATCAGAATGATCAGAGGTAACACATACTGGCTGTGTTGCTTATGTATTTATTGAGGTACAAAGGATATTGTACACTTTGCTGTAGCTAAAGAGATTCCAAATTGTGGAGCTAGGTATTTTTGGGTGCATGGAAACGGGCACTTGGGTTCAGGTTCATGGCCTTATGCTTGCCAGGGAGGTGCGTTGCCACTGAGCAGTCCTTGGCTTCTCCGACAAAAGGTCTTATCCAGACACTGATTGCCTTACACTCCTCACCCCAAAACCGTTTGCACTTTATGGTTTACAGATAAGGAAAAGGAAGAATACAGGAATTCAATGCCTTACCCGAGTTTACTCCTAAATAATTAAGCCAGGTGATACTCAATCATTTTATGGCTCCCAGGTCCTTGTTCCACCATTGTTCTATGCTACTTTTATGCTTCACCTGATACTTTACACGGTTTAGTGCATGGCTTTCAAATCAGAGCCATGGGGGGAAAGTAGCAATGAGGTGTTCTGGTGGTACAAAAGTCAGCAACCACTTGCCAGTCCTGTGTGGTAGAAGGGACCTAACTGGTTTGGCTATATGCTGAGACTGGGATACGGACTGAGGCTGATTAGAAGAGGGAAGAGAATCTGGATGCCTGGTCGTTCTGAGCCCACTTCTAAATTCTCACCTCACTCTAGGTTTGTCCTTTTTAAGTTGTTCTATTTATTTGCTTCAAAAGTTAAACAGTATTGAGGCTGGAGCGATAGCACAGTGGGTAGGACGTTTGTCTTGCACACGGCTGACCCAGGTTCCAGCATCCCATATGGTCCCCTGAGCACCGCCAGGAGTAATTCCTGAGTGCATGCGTCAGAAGTAACCCCTGTGCATCAACAGGTGTGACCCAAAAAGAAAGTTAAACAGTATTTAATAGGTCTTGTACTAAAGATATATGTATATATGTGTGCATATATATATATATATATGAGAGAGAGAGAGATAGAGAGAGAGAGATAGAGAGAGAGAGAGAGAGAGAGAAAGAGAGAGAGAGAGAAGAGATGCCCTGTCTTGGTAGCAGTCCAGCTTCTGGGTTTCCGTTGAGATAAGAATCCTTGTGAAATTAGTCCAAGGGAATTGTCTGATAATTTGCTCATTGTTATTCCACAAATGCCACCTTCATGTTCTAAATATTTTTTCTGAATAACCTTTTTTAATTTCCTTTAGACTCTTGGTTGTTAAATGACCATTGGTCTGGTCCTTGTAAACATAGACCTGTTAAAGGCATTCCTGGGTTTAAAATACTTTCCTTTGGAAAGTGTTTTTGAATAAAGGGCCTATTGTGTAGAAAGTAGAAGACCTAGGTTCAAATTCCAGAAGTGTTGTTTGGTAACAGCTATAGCAACTGGGACGAATTATTTAACCTCTTAGACTTTTGATCGGTAAAATAAGGTAATGATTCCTACTTAAGGGACATGAAAGATAACTCAAATGGCTGAGCACATGTTTTGCATGTGAGAGACCCTGTTCAGTCTCCAACACCACAAGTACCACTGGGAGAAAACCCCAGAGAGCTGGGAGAAACCCCTGAGAACCACTGAGTGTGGTCCCCAGACCTACTTAGTATGGTGATTAAGGTTTCAATGGGACAAAACAGACTATATACCACAAAATATTAACTGCTAGTATGATTAATAATATTTCTTTGAAGAGGAGCTGGGATATGCCTCAAGTGGATGAACATAGGCCTTGCATGTGTAAAACCCTTGGATCCAGTCCCTGGCACCACACACCCACACACCCCAATGCTCAGCACCACCAGGTACTGTCTCCAGAGCAACTGAAGAAGATAGGTTACTTTAGAAAATGAGACTGGGGACCCACCAGAATGCTAGTACAGTGGGGAGGGCATTTGTCCTCACGCAGCAGACTCTAGTTCAATTCCTGGCATCCCATATGGTCCCCCAAGCACCATCAGGAGTAATTCCTGAGTGCAGAACCAGGAGTAACCCCTGAACATCGCTGGGTGTGATCCTCTCCCTCCAAAAAAAAAAAATAATAACATTGCATAGAAAATGTTATAGGATGTATCCTAAGGTCATAAGGGTATTGCTACATGTTGGTATTTAACCAGAGTTCCAGAAAACAGGTATTCAAACATAATGCCCAAAGGGAGCAAAAGAGAAAAAGAGGAAAATGCCTGCTATGGAGGCAGGCTGTGGGTTGGGGGGGGGGGAGTAATGGGAGAGAAACTGTGGATATTGGAGGTGGGAAATATCCACTGGTGAAGGGATGAGTGTTGGAGCATTGTATGACTAAGACCCAATCATAACAGCTTTGTGACTGTGTATCTTATGATAATTCAGTTAAAGCAACAACAACAACAGCAAAAACTGTTTTATAAAGTTGAAAGAGCTGTTATTTGAAAAAAAATGAGATAATGCTTTTCCGCCAAACTAAAATCATATATGATGTGCGAAAAACGTAAGACCTGATCCCTTACCCAGTAAAAGGAAAGTTCTCTGTCTCTTCCCCTGAAGGATGTTTTCTTCACTTTGTCTTGAAGATTGGCTGAGATTCTATCTGAATCTTTTGATGCTAATTGCTTCCTGCAGATTTAAAATGCCATCGCTGAGAGAACAAAAGGGAAAGCCCTGCCACAGAGGCAGGGTGAAATAAGGGGGAGGGGGGTTGTGGGGGAGGGATACTGGGATCGTTGGTGGTGGAGAATGGGCACTGGTGGAGGGATGAGTATTCAATCATTGTATAACTGAAACCCAAGTACAAAAATTTGTAAGTCTACAGCTGTACCTCATGGTCACTAATAAAAAAATTAAAAAAAAAAAATTTTTTTAAAAGCCATCTCCTCCAATCATCAGCTCTTTTCATCTAAAAATAAACAGATTTAATTGAATTAATTTTGGATGCCTCGCCCGCACAGCAGAGCCTGGCAAGCTATCCGTGGTGTATTCAATATGCCAAAAACAGTAAATACAATGGGTCTCATTCCCCTGACTCTTAAAGAGCCCCCAATATGGCAACGTTAAAAAGTATGAGCAAGGAGAGGCTGATAAAATCTCAGGGTCGAACTAAGTTGCCCAAATGAAGAAGGACTAAAAGGACTGTCTGTACTTTCAATGCACATATGCTGGCATTGGAAGCATTTATCGAGGACCTGATGGTGCAAGCGTGGAAGATCAAGTACGACATCATTGGTCTAACTGAGACGAGGGACATCCATCACATCACGCCATTTTCGACACTGGAGAAGAACTGTTCCTCAGAACATGTGACAAAAGAGTCGTTCGTGGTGTCAGTGTCCTTGTCAACATGACTTGGCCATGAGCATTGATTCATTCAAATGCCTAACAACCCAAATCGGATGATTACACTTGAATAGATGTGGCTCAGTGCTGGCAGTTTCTATCTTCATTGTCTATGCACCAACATACAATTACGATGAAGAAGAAATTGAGAAGTTTTCTACTTGAAGCTGGAGAACTTCTATGGGAAGATTACACCTTCTACAAGATCGTTGTCGGTTAATTTAATACCAAGGTAGGACCAAGAAGATCAGCCAAAGAACTCCACATCAGGACCCATGGCCTAGAATGGAATGAACAGGGTAAAAAACTGTCTGAGTTCATCATGTTGACCAAGACCATCCATGGTAACTACAGTTCCAGAAACCCAACTCTAAATGTTGGACATGGGAGTCTCTCGGTGGACAGTTCCACAACAAAGTTGATCACATCATATTCAATAGATGGTTTCGCCTGACCAATGTCACTGTTGTCCCAAAATTCCAAATGGGGCCCGCCCCCAACGCTGCTCCGCTGGTCTCCTCCCCATCCAGGTCAGTCCGCCCACCAGCATTAGAATCTGGGACTTGGCTTTCGCCCTGCAAAGGCCCAGTGTCCTCTCGGACCCTGGAACAAGAGCGGACCTGAGCCCCTTCCTCCTGGCCCGCCCCCAACGCTGCTCAGCGAGACTCCTCCCCAACCCAGCCTTCACCCCTCACACGCACACACCTGGTTCCCGTGGGGGCATGGCCTCTTCAGAAGGGGCGTGGCTTTGGTGGAAGTGGACGTGGCTTAATTTTAGGCGGTCGGCTGCTTAAGTGGCCGCAGGTAGTTTAGTCATACCAAAATTCCAAATGGGATCAGACCACTATCTCCTTTGTGCAAAATTCTACTTCACGGAGCGGGCAGAAAGGACTGCAAAGTTTAAGAAAAGAACTCCCAGAATGACCACCAGCTGGGAGCTCTTTGGCACTATTGTGGCAACATGGGAAGATGCTGTCATTGACTGCATTGAAGAAGATACAATCGACTGGTTCAGCACCTCCATGATTGTGCAAGGAATGCTGAGAGAGAGAAAGCTGCAAAAAGATGCCTGTCCTTGGAAACTCTCGAGCCCATTCACCAATGTGGCTGGGTGCGACCCTCAGGCAACCTCAAGCAAACATTCGAGCTTGCAAAGCAGTGCAGAGAAGCAATAAAAGAAGAGCTTAAAGAGAGAAGAGCAGCATTGCTGGCCGATGCAGCAGAAGCTGGGAAAAGAATTCACAACACCCGCCTGTCCTTTGCCAACTACAAGACCAAGTTGACTGCCCTCCGACGTCCTGACGGATCTATCACATCTTCCAGAAGGGCAATGGAGAAGATTATCCATGACTTCTACTCACTTGGATCTCTTCAATAGCCACATCCTGCCCACATACCAAATTAGGCAGGATGGACATGTTGTTCACAACATCTCCCTTCTGAAATCCGACATGCCATTTCGTCAGTAAAGAAGCGAACAGCACCAGGTCCAGACAAGGTTAGACCCGAACACCTGAAGAATCTGCCATCAGTACTCATCAATACACTAGCTCGGCTCTTCACACGCTACCTGTCTGAATGCAAGATTTCGTCCCAATGGAAAACCCGCAGAACCATTCTATTGTACAAGAAGGGAGACATACATGACATTGGCAACTATCGCCCGATCTGCCTGTTGTCCATCATCTACAAGCTGTTCACTCGAGTCATCCTGAATAGGATTGGCAGAACACTAGATGAAGGACAACCATGCAAGCACGCTGGGTTCCAAAAAGGATTCAGCATGATCAACCATATCCACATGGTAACCAAGCTCAATGAGTTTTCTCGGGAGTTCATGATGCCTCTCTGTCTAATGTTCATCGATTTAAAGAAGACCTTTGATTCTATTGAGACCTAAGCGGTCATCAAAGCCCTAGCCAAACAGGGCATTCAAACTCAATATATCAGGATCCTCCATGAGCTGTATTCGCATTCACTACCAGGATCTCACCATTCTACAAGGAAGTGATCACGGACATCAAGAGAGGGGTTCGGCAGGATGATGCCATTTCACCAAAACTCTTCTGTGCCACCCTCAAGAATGTCACGCAATGACTGGAATGGGAAGGAATGGGAGTGAAGATAGACAGTTGACAATTACACCACCTCCTCTTTGCTGATGACATCGTTCTAATAATACCAAACATTAGCCAAGAGGCACAAATGCTGGCTGACTTCAACCGTGAGTGTGGAAAGGTCAACTGTAGTTGAATCTCACGAAGACAATGTTCATGAGAAACGAACTCGTTTCTGACCTTCTATTTGCTCTCAATGGAATAAACATCTCAAAATGCAGCAGTTATGTGTACCTAGGTCAAGAATTCAACATGACAAATGGCCTGGCACCTGAGTTGTGCAGGAGGAAGAGAGAGACATGGAACACCTTCAAGAGCACCATAGTCAAAGAAATAGCTAAGAGGATGAAGAACTTCCAGCTCCAGGCAAATCTCTTCGACTCCAGACTCCACCGTTCTTCCTGCATTAACATATGCCTCAGAGACCTGGGCCCTGCAAAAACAGGATGAGAATGCTATTGGAGTCTTCTAAAGAGGAATCGAAATAGCTATGCTTGGAGTATCACACTTCACTCAAGTGAGAGAAGGAATCCGGTATTCTGACCTCTATCGATGATCAAGAATCAGTAACGTCTCATTTTCCAAGGAGTCGAAAATCAGATAGGCTGGACACATAATGTGATTTGGAGACGACCACTGGACTAGAGCCATTACCAACTGGATTCCACGGGATGTCGAAAGATCACATGGCCACGCACCTACGAGTTGGTCAGACTTCTTCATCAAGACCTTGAAGGAATGGTTTGAGGCTCTTCATGTTCCTGGAACAAGCAGATGCCATTGGGCTACACTAGCACGTGACAGGGATGAATGGAGATGTTACTGGTGCCCACTTGAGCAAATCGATGAGTAATAGGATGTCAAGTGATCAAGTGCCCCGGTGAATAGTTTGCACAATGGTTTTTGCTCTGAGTGGGAAAGAAGGAAATTGTAATACTGAACACCTGAGAACTCAACCATATTGGCTTCAGAAAACATGGGTGTGGGTGTGTGTGTTCAGAGCAACTAGAATGTAGCATGTGAACTTGGAGGAGATGGCTGTCCATCTCACAAAGCATTAGCAGAGCAAAGTGTCGAAGGGGAAAGATAGTGGTGCTTGAAAATGGTGTGTTTAGGAGCTAGCAGCCTGTGTCCAAATCCTACTTCTACTTATTTCCTATTGAATTTTGAGATGTTTGTGTTCAACAATTATTTTTCAATTGAGTCACTGTAAATCACAGAGTTATTCATGACTGAATTCAGGCATATACTGTTTCAACACCAATCTCTTTACTATTGCCTACTTCCTCCACCAATGTACTTGGTTTCCCTTCTACCCCAAGTCTGCTTCTGTGGCAGGTGATTTTTTTTTTTTGTTCCTCTTTGGGATCTGTGGTTTACAGTACTGTTACTGATAGGGCATCATGCTTATCACTTTATCACCTTTCAGCTTTCCCCCTACTGTGACCACATCCCTCCACCATTGTGGTGGTCTTCCCTTCCTTGTCTTATCTCCCTCCCCTGTCCCTCCCCATTCTCTCCCCTTTACCCACAGTGGAAAGTCCAATGAAGACTATTTTTATGTCCTTTATTTCTACTGCCATTGGGCACTTTTTGTTATTCCGCTACTATATTTTTTATAATCCTTATATGAGAGAATTCTCTGTCTGTCCTTTTCTTCTAACATCACTCACTATGATACTCTTCAGTCCAAGTGATAGGGAATTCTTTTTCTTACATTATTATTGAGAGAGTGAGCAAGTGGGACTGGAGCGATAGCACAGCGGGTAGGACATTTTCCTTGCATGCGGCTGATCTGGGTTTGATTCCCAGCATTTCATATGGTCCCCCGAGCACCGCCAGGAGTAATTTCTGAGTGTAAAAGCCAGGAGTAACTCCTGTTCATCACTGGGTGTGACCCAAAAATAAAAGAAAAGGGAGACAGAGAGAGAAAGAGAGACAGAGAGAGAGAAAAAGAGAGAGAAAGCAAGAAAGAACTAGAAGAATTCAACCCGTGTTTCTTCTGATTATATTGACGAAGGTGGAAAAGGGTAACACTATTGCTGTTGGCTTATTTAGAAAGATAAATAATTGATTAGGCAAACATATCTCATAATCACTTATCAGAGACTATAAACTTCTGTTATCTCTACCATAATCATCAGCTTTATGAAGCTGAGATGTTCAAAGTCTTAGTGAATTCACTTACAGTAGGAGTGCCGTTGACAGACCTTCAGGCTGTGTGTCCCCTGTGACTCTTGTCTCTGCAGGTACTGTGGCTCCTACATGGATCACCACACAATTTTCAGAGTGCCCAGCTCCCTGGTTCATGTTCAGCTTCAGTGCAGCTCAAGGCATTCTGATAGGCCACTCCTGGTGGAATACGGCAGTTACAACATCAGTCAACGTAAGTTTGGGATTGACTCCTTAGAAACCCTGAATAAATTATTTGAAGGTGGTTATACCCTAAATAGAATTCTATTAAGAACTCCAAGAAATTAAAGAACAAAAACTATTTCATTGATCCTGTTTTCTATTTTTATTTTTATAATAAACAATACACATATAAACTTAACCAATATGCAAAATGCAATACATAAATGCTATTGTTTAATTTTAGGAGAAATAATATAATTTTCAGTGTGGACTTCAGTTGAAAAATAATTTCTTTCATTACCAAATGTGATCATTTCTTGGTTTGTTGTTCTTGCTAGCTGTAGTTTTTATAAATAGGATGCTCCCACCAACATTTCATAGGATTTGACTCCTTAAAGGAGAAATGTTGATTAAGAAGAATTCAAGTATTAGTCCTCAGAATGTTGAATTTAACACAGAAATGTTGAACCTGTGGGCAGGAAGAGAAAAGGCAGTGTTTGAGGGCTGGCAAGAGTAGATACTGGCTTACTCAGGAAATTCACCCCTTATGTTAAAAGGCTAAAAAAAAGAAAAAAAAAGTTATCTACTTAGGAAGCACAGCGGTAGGGCGTTCTCCTTACAAGTGGCCAACATGGCCAACCCGAGTTCAATTCCTCCGCCCCTCTCGGAGAGCCCGGCAAGCTACCGAGAGTATTCGATATGCCAGACACAGTAACAACAAAGTCTCCAATGGAGACGTTACTGGGCCTGCTTGAGCAAATCGATGATTAACGTGAGGGCCTTTACCTTTACCTTTACTTAGGAAGAAAAGGGCTTAGAGAAGGCTTCTTTATACCACATCCTTCTTTGCTGATTCCCAATATACTTACTTCTAGATTCAGAATATTTCACTTTGGAATATCAGAATATTAAAAATTTCTAACAAGGACAATGGTAAATAGGAGACTGTCTTGTCTTTTATGAAGGGGTACGGAGGAACTTCCATACAGCTTTAAGGAGGACCTAGGGTTGCTCTTGGTGATACTCTTGGCCAACTGTGAAGGCTCAGCACACAGACCACAGCGTTGGGGTGCATGTGCAAGAGATTGAGCCCGAGTTCTTGTTCCTGTACTGCAAAGTGCCCCTTTTACCTAAGCTATTTCCCTGCCCCCAAGCTGTCTATTGTTTTCTTCCTGTTTTTGTTTTGGGGCCACACCCAGCATTATTCAGGGATTACCCCTGGCTCCATGCTGCTCAAAGATGATTCCTGGAGGTATTTAGGGAATCCCTTGGGATGCCGGGAATCCAACCTGGGTTGGCCTGTGCAGGGCAAGTACTCTCCCTGTTGTACTTTTGTTCTTTCTACCACTTGTTTGCTTTTTTTTTTTTTTTAAGTAGAAAAACATTTCTAGGAACTTCCTTTCTATACCAGGTGCCATTGAGCTGGTGTTTGATCTGACCGTGGACTGTCCCCATTCTTTTGCACAAAGGGAGTATCTAGTCCATTTGGGAACTTTACCACACTGGACTGCTTATAAAGACAAGACATGTATTTCTCACAGTTTTGGAGGTTGAAAATCTAAGATCAGAGTGCCAGTATGGTCATAAGAAGGCTTCTCTGGGTTCAGACTACTTGTAACCACACAGAGTGAAAGGGGAGAAGGAATCTCCTTTAAAAAGAAAGGAGGGCTGGAATGATAGCACAGGAGGTAGGGCAGTTTGCCTTGCCCGAGGTCGACCCGGGCTCAATTCCCAGCATCTCCTATGGTCCCCTGAGCACGGCCAGGAGTAATTCCTGAGTGCAGAGCCAGGAGTAATCCCTGAGCATCCCTGAGTGTGACCCAAAAAGAAAAGAAATAAATAAAAAGAAACACATTGATTTTATTTGCAAGGGCTGCAGCCTCCTGGTGGAGGAGTTATGTAACTTAATGCCGTCCTTCTAACTCCTGACTCACTTAACACTGCATAGTTCTTAGTTGATGTGGTCTGGAGACCTTGGGGATCCACACCAGATTTCCTCTTTCTTCTTGTCTCTAGCCTGTCCCCCTGGATCTTTCAGATGCTCCTCTGGTCTGTGTGTCCCTCAGGCCCAGCGGTGTGACGGGATAAATGACTGCTTTGATGAAAGTGATGAACTTTTCTGTGGTGGGTATTCAATATTCTACTATAACTTTATTATGAATAAATACCTTATCAGGGTCATCATTGCTGCAGATACATATCCAGGGTCATAGCAGATTTTATCTTACAACAATCATTTATTCTTAGATTATTCTCAGGTTACCTGAGAGATGATTGGTTCAATTTTTCAAACAGTGCGTTGGTCCTCCTGAGCCTGGTTCTTTCTGGTGTGGGACCAGGTCTACGCCTCTGACTCTCTCCTTATGGAACTAGTAAGTGAGTGAATTATGGCAGTGATAGAAACGAAGGAAAAGTAGCTAAAACATGTTTCTTCTTACACCTATGTGCAGTCCATCAGTCAGAGTGAGTCATATAGATGAGATCATAGGAAAGTGAAGGGGAAACTTAGTTTGTACACCTTGCAGACACAGCAGGCGTGGGGATGCATAATGCAACCACAGAAAGTGTCTGTGGTTAATAATTTAGTCATTCACGGGTTTCAACACAAAAGTCTGTATTTTAAGATACAGGTCCTCGAGAGAGTGTTCAAAGGGCTAAGTGCATACTGTGCATTCAGGAGTCCCAGATTTGAACCCTGGCATAATATGGTCCTCTGGGAGGAACCCCAAACACAGAGCTTGGAGTAGCTCCTGAGTACCTCTAGGTGTTCCCTTCACCCCTCAAAGAATATGAATAAACAAACAGAAATATACAGATTCTGCATTTAGAGAGAAGCTCAGAATATGCAGAGAAGTAAGCCCAGTATGCTTGTTTTGGGGTGTGGATGTTCTGAATAAGAGAGTTTTTTTTTTCCCCCCAAAAAACTCTATAGTTTGCATTGACATCCTACCAGTAATGACCAAGGACTAAATATTGGCTAGTCCTATTTTGGGTGTAAAGTCACTTCCTTGTTTTTTTCATTAAGTTTTTGATTGTGTATTTCTGACTCTCTCTCTCTCTCTCTTGTTTCATGGGGCAAGTTAGCTGGAGCATGTTATACCACAGACCTTACTTTTTTTTCTAAAGATCCAGAATTCTTAATTTAAATAGGATTGTGGTGATGAAGTTATTTAAGATCATTTATATTCTTGGAGAAGTAATAATTAATATAATACAGCTAACTGTAAAATATTACATTCATAAAAAAAACCTGTGACTTTATGCTTTTTATTTAAGGAATAAAACAGAATAAAAGCTTCTTAAAATTTGCCAGCAATTTAAAGCAACAGGATATTAAGAAAATAAATGCAGATTATTTTATAGTGATTGAAGTTGCTTAAGTACATTATTATCCCTTGGGAACAGACAGACAGTACAGCGGGTAGAGCATTTGGTTTGCATGCAGATGAGCCAGGTTTGATTCCCACTACTCTATATGTTCGCTCCAAACCTGCCAGCAGTAATTCTGGATTGCATAGTCGGGAGTAACCCCTGATCATCACTGGGTGTAGCCCCCAAACAAAAAAATTATTATTCCCTGTTATGATGCTCTAAACAAAAGAAGCTACTGTTATTTTGTAATAAGCATTGCTTTGCTGTTCATCATTTAGTCATTGTGATATTTTTGGAGTTGTTTTCTTGAAGTCAAAAGGACACTCTCAGAGACACAATGCAGTATTTCAGAGCATCAATAAACTCCCTCCACTCATCCCAGGAGACATAACAGGAGCAGACAACAAAAAAGGGAACTGTTTCTTTTTTTAATTAGAATTGGTAATGCTTAAGAAATCATATCTTCTAAGAGTTCTTGCTGGTTATTTGCATAAAATTATGAGTATAACTTGCCGGTCACTATTATGGTCATTATTAGTATCATGACGATCATGATCACGACCATCCTGTTGTTCGTCGATTGCCTCAAGCAGGCCCCAGTAAGGTCTCCTTCATCCTAGCCCTGAGATTTTTTTAAAAAGTGCCATATTCAAGGCTCTTTCAGGGTTAGAAGAATGAGACCCATCATTGTTACTTGTATTTGGCATATTGGGTACGCCACGGGGAGTTTGCGAGACTCTGCCGTGTGGGCAGGTTACATTTAGGAGCCTGCCAGTTTGTCCAAAGTAAGAATGAGATAGTAAGATGTCGCGCAGCCGCGTATGCAGCCACGCGCTTCTGGGAGCTGGGTTTTATAGTCTCTGGGTCTTTGCCGTTGATGTGATTACACAGTGCCAGGGAGTCAGTTGGTGGGTGTGACCCCTGCCTACTGGAATATGGAGGATCTGGGTGGAGGATGCTCAGCCCCAATCCAAGCAGGCTTGGAGATCTCAGCCCCGGGACACGCATGCCTTTGTTCCTCTGCCGGTACCTTCATGCGTGTGGAGAGTGGTCTCAGCATGGTGGTGGCTGGTTCTGGAGGTCTTCAACTGCTGGAACCCTGGTCGGGGCAGGGAGGGAAACACGACCCGCTCCCCTCCAAGGGTCCCCAGCAAGGACAGCCAGGCGCGGGGGCAGGAGACTCTGAGCTGTTCTCTTCTGGGAGATGGGTTTTATAGTCCCTGGGTCTTGGCTGTTGCTGGGATTACACGGCGCCAGGGGGCCAGTTGGTGTGTGTGACCCCTGCCTACTGGAATATGGAGGATCTGGGTGGAGGATGCTTAGTATCAAGGCAATTTATTAAATTATTCCCCAAAAGATAAATTACAATCGACTTATGCTGGCATTTCTTTAATTCAGTAATTTCTCAGTAAAAAATAATTTTAAAGACTGTTTTCTTTACACATAGAATACAAATCTGTTTTCCTCCAAGATGTCATTTTATCATATTTAGTAACTCATTCAAACTTTCAACAAATATTTTTTGGCCAGGGACTTGAAGTTTAGAAAAGAGTAAAACAAACTTCATAATCTCAAGACCCTCCCATTTTTTAAAGAAATGTTCACATATTAAATTTAGATAATCCTTATTATTTATACACTTTAAGTTTTTACTTTTAAAATCATCCATGAATACATAAGTTCTTACACTTAATTTTAATCAAATAAATAGCACCAGAGATGAATACATTTATGCAGAAGCAAAGATTGGGTATGATGATTTTGAAGTGCTAAAAATTATCCCAAAGACTGAATATCACCTTTTTCTCATGCAAGTACTGGTTTGGAGAAAAAAAAAACTTAATTTTATTTAGATTCTCTTAAAGATCTTATTATTTATTTATTTTAATTTTTATTTTTTGTTAGTGGATCGCAGGTTACTGAATGCAACCTGCCCACACAGCAGAGTCTGGCAAACTCCCCGTGGCGTAACCAATATGCCAAATACCAGTAACAATGATGGGTCTCATTCTCCTAAGCCTGAAAGAGCCTTGAATATGGCACTTTTTAAAAATCTCAGGGCTAGGACGAACAACAGGATGGTCGTGATCGTGATCGTGATCGTTAGTGGATCGCCGTTTACAAACTTACGAATTTTCGTGTTTAAGATTTGCTCTTTTAGGTAAGCATTGTTGGCCATCAGAGTTCAATTGATGTCCCGGCCTCATGACTTCCTGTCTGTTCTTATTCCAGTGCCTCTCAAGTCAGTCTGCAATGACAGCTCCTTCAGGTGGCACAGTCCTCTGGTCTGTGATGGCTTCACAGACTGTGAGGATGGTCGAGATGAGCAGAACTGCACTCAGAGTGAGATTTAACTCCCTGTACTATTTCAACTGCCAACTGACTTGTTTCGTTGTTTTGTTGTTGTTGTTGTTGTAAGACTGCCCCTCATACCAAGTTTTAGGTATTAGTCTTAGACAAAATGTACCAGTTGGTCTCTAACTGGGATGCTGTGTGTGTGTGTGTGTGTGTGTGTGTGTGTGTGTGTGTGTGTGTGTGTGTAAATACTGGAAGATTTCATTGGTTCTTTGTTTGCTGCTCAAGCCTAAAGAATGCCAAAGACTTGATATACAGGGATGTGTCAGATGCCATAATGAAACACATTCTTTTATATAGCTCTGCAGAAAAACATACCTAGAGACACAAACAGCATGCTATAATTCACAATGCCTAGCCATTTCCTCCCTATGATATAAACGAACTGAGTGTGGTGCTTATTTCTGATTATCTTTTTGGTAATAGAAAGGAGGGTAATGCCTAAGCCACTGACAGGTACAACGGCATTCCATCTCACCTACAGTGGGAGAAGGGAGAGGTCATCATATTGCTTTTCAGTGAGCATTCGCCTGAAGGGAAAAGCTGCTGTGAGGGGCTGGAGAATTAGTCAGCAGGTAGGTTAGCTTTGCATGTGGCTGACTTGGGTTCAATCTTCAGCATTCCATACGGCCCATCAAGTCTGCCAGGAGCCATCCCTGAGTGCAGAGCCAGGAGTCAGCCCTAAGCATCGCTGGGTGTGCAGACTGCCCCCACCCTCACCCCCACCAAAACAAAACAAAACAAAAACTTGATGTGGGGTTGTTTCATTCCACTCTGCTGTGTTTCCTACCACAACAAATACTATAACATGGCCAAGTCATTCTTTGCAGTTCATTATCATATACTCGTCTTGTTTTGACTTAGAAAAACTCTTCTTTCATTTACTTATAGGCATCCCATGCACCAACAGAACTTTTAGATGTGGCAATAATATTTGCTTCAGGAAGCAAAACGCACAGTGTGATGGGACTGTGGATTGTCTGGATGGAAGTGATGAAGAAGGCTGCAGTGAGTGGAAGTCCATATTTTTTTTAACTGTATTCTCTCTTCAATTCAATTGCTTCCCATTTCTTTTCCCTTCTTTCTGTAATCCCTCTGACAGAGGTTGTTGGAGGTATGGAGAAATAAGGAAAATATTGGCTGACTAATTCTGAAACTATGTCTTAAAAATTTACTTTCTGAATACTCTAATCAAGGAAGGAAGGTCTTAAATAAAAAGCTTATGAGAAAGATGGGAGCACACAGTAGGTAGCTTGCTTGTTATGCCTCAGGTTATAGTCCATATCAAGTGCTGGAATTTTCTTTAACTATGACCTAAGCACAATAATCATGTGATTATAGTATTAGTTATATGATTTCTAATTGACCATATTGGAATACAAGTTTGTACAACTTTACCAATACTATTTATAGTAGGAAATAATTATACTGGTAATCAGGTTTCAAAAATAGTTTTTCATTGATTTGACTAATAAATTTTCTTTCAAATGTATTATTTCAAATTATCACAATTTCAAGACACCGACTTCTTATTTATTTCTGTTGAATATTTTTAATGTGTACCTCTTAAGCATTGCTTGGGGCCTGGGCACCACCCCTGGCTGTACTGTGCATTTCATTGTTTGGGGTGGTAGTATGATCATTTTATGATTCAACAGTGCTAGAGGTAAGGGACCAGGGCATGCTGTGGAAGAGATTAAATTTGGTACCTTAAGCATGCAACTTAGTGCCTCTGACTCCTCTCTCTCCAAGTCCAAAGGACACTTTTAATTCTATTGCAGTGGAAACTTACTTTTCTCTCTCTACCCAAAAATCCAAACCCCACAGATGATGCTTTTATCAGTGTCCCATACTTCCCTTTATATGCATTATTGTACAGAGACTGTGCAAGTCTGTTTTCAGAAGAGTAGGAGTGGGTTTTGGTGTAGGTTTCATATGGACTCTTATAGGTTTCATCTGAGGATGAACAGAAAATTTCAAATTATTAACTTGGTTCTTAGTTTCCAATCCAGCTCTAAACTGAAATGACTTTTCAGTTTTTCTTCCAAGTCTGAAGATGTCTTCCAAGCCTATATGAAGTGACCTTTCCTCTCCTAAAGGCTGCAGCAGAAATTCCTTAACCCTTCACCGAATCATCGGGGGCACTGACACCCAGGAAGGGGGTTGGCCGTGGCAAGTTAGCCTTCATTTTGTTGGTTCTGCCTACTGTGGAGCTTCAGTCATCTCCAGGGAGTGGCTTCTCTCTGCAGCCCACTGTTTCCATGGAAACAGGTAGGACTTTCCTATCCTTCATCAGTTCTGATGTTTTGGAAAAAATGCTCCTTGTAGAAAATCAACTGGTGATTGTTTTCTTCTTCTCTTTTCTTAATCATATGTGTTAACATTTCTTCCGAAATTATTAATATAAAGAAAATAGCACAAAAGACACGTAAATGTGAACAGGCTTTTATTTGGTTGGGAGGATGAGTATTGGGATTGCTAGTCAAATCTCTGGGAATGTTTGGAGAATTTGGAGCTTAGTGGGCACTGGAAGGTAACTCGGGAGTGGAGATCCTGTAAGAGCGAAAGAGGGGTCCTAGAAAAGTCCAGAGGCTGGTTATGGAATGATTCTGTTTGCCTTTACTAGTGGGAAAAACTGATGCACTTTTAGGTAAGGGTGAAAGGAAGACTTGAAAACAACCTTAGTTGTTTCAAATGTGACTTTACAGTTCAAATGGGTTCAAAGGAGTGAACCATGTGTCTTACTTTCTCAAGACCTGAGTTTGATCCCTGGAACCAGCAAGCAAAACTCTCATTGAGATAGGCTCCAAGGCTTTACAGCCCCACGGGGAATCCTCCTAAGAATCTTTAATGAGAATTTACTGGTCCAAAGTAGTAGTATTTGTTTCTTATTATTAATTTTTTAAAGAGTCTTTCAATGTGTTTGTACAATTAAGATATTTGCTTCTTTTAGAAATAATAAGATACATGTTGATTATTGAAAAAGCTACCCTGTTTTATCATTAGTCTCTTAGACCAGAATTTCTTAACCAAGAGCCCTTCTATATGGTTATTCCATATAGAATAATACTATCTGTATTCTAAGGACCACAGATGACAAGCACACAAGCTATGGGTGGGCAAGATTAGGGGTACAACTGGTAGGGCAAGAAGGTAACACTGCATTGTAGCACTGTCCTCCCTTTGTTCATTGATTTGCTCAAGGAAGCCCAGTTGTGAGACTTGTTACGTATCTTTGGCATATCAAATATGCGGTGAGATACTCTCCGTAGCTTGCCGGACTCTCAGAGAGGGGCAGAGGAATCAAATTCTGGCCGACTGTGTGCAAAGCAAATGCCCTACCCACTGTGTTATCGCTCCAGCCCAGGGCAAGGAGGTACAGAAAGAAAATAAGGTAAGAAAGGGGTCATAGTCAGAAAAAAGGTGAGAAACGCTGTTTTAGGCTATAAAAATGTTGCAAGTCTATTAAACTCAGCACTGTCCCCTCATCCTCCAAGAATGTCAGCCAAGCTGATAAGTGGCAACACCCTTTTGGCTCTATCCATGTTTTCTTTCAAAACTTCCACATTCCCTTCACTCTGAGAGGTTGCTGCACTGGTGGAGATGGAATCCTTATAAAGAAACTGCAAGACCTTGGTGAGTTTGGATAAGACCAGAGAGACTTCTGGAAGCGCTAACCAGAACATAGCCTGTGATTGGCCATGCTTAAGCTGCTAGAGCACGGATATATATGGCTCTGGTAGTTTGCAAGACAGACTTTTATTATATTTTGCTTATTACACTTGAATTTATAATCTGCATTGGTATTCATATTATTTAAATATGGTAAAAGGATCACCAGACCATGCTCCCTGGCCCTGTCTTTCTCCATCAAGTACCATTATTAGCAAGAACAGATGGAATGTAAGGGACCAAACTCTCACTAACTTTCTTGGCCCACATGTGGTTCATGACAACTGTTGGTAAAGTAATTTCTCACGTTTCCTTAGGATGTTTTCTAGAATATTGCTACTATTTGTCACTACCCATACCTCCATCTTTGGTTTTACCTAAGAGACAAGAGACTCAGGGAAGTTGTACTTGTCATGTTCTTAGACAGAGCCAGTGATTTTAATTGGGATAGAAAATCAAGCCTCGGGTTGGAGTGATAGAACAGCAGTAGGGTGTTTGCCTTGCACACAGCTGACCCAGTTTGATCTTCAGCAACCCATATGGTACCCTGAGCACCGCCAGGGATGATTCCTGAGTGCAAAGCCAGGAGTAACCCCTGTGCACAGCCCAGTGTGACCTAAAAAGTCAAAAAAAAAAAAAAAGGAAGTCAAGCCTCATGACTTTGTTTTTTCCTGGTGGATGTGTAGTATTCCATTATGTAGATATACTGTAGTTTCTTTATTCAGTCTTCTATTCTCGAAAACTCGGGTTGTTTCCAGATTCTGCCTGTTATGAATGGCCTATTATAATGATGCAATGGATGAAGATGGAGAGTATCATGCTGAATAAAATGAGTCAAAAAGAGAGTCAGACAGGTTGCACTCATCTGTGGGATATAAAAAAGCATAACATGAGACTAATACCCACAGACAGTAAAAGTAAGAGCCATGAGGACTGGTTCATGGATTGAAGCTTGCCACAGGAAAGTTCCAGGGAGGGCAGTTAGGACAGAGAAGGGACCGCTATGACAATGGTAGTTGGAGAGGATCATTCTGGACAAGAACTGAGTGCTGAAAGTAGGTAAAGGGTTATACATGATAACCTCCCAGTACCTATATTGCAAACCATAATGTGCGGAAAGATAATATATATACATATATTATATATATATATATATATATATATATATAGAGAGAGAGAGAGAGAGAGAGAGAGATTGAGAAGAAAAGTGCCTGCCAAAGAGGCAGTCTTGGGCAGGGAGTGGTGTGAGGAGAAGAGGATGGAAGGAAGGAAACTGGGGACGTTTCAGTTTAAAAAGAAAAAAAAAGAAAGTCAAGCTTCCCCTTCCTTAGCCTCATCTCTATGCAGCATGCTTGGTTCCAAAGGACGTGCAATTCTTCAAGTCATTAACTTTGTGCTTCCTTCCTTTCCTACCAGGCTGTCGGACCCCACACCATGGACTGCTCACCTTGGGATGTATGTGCAGGGCAATGCCAAGTTTGTCTCCCCCGTGAGAAGAATTGTAGTTCATGAGTATTATAACAGTCAGACCTTTGACTATGATATTGCCTTGCTACAGCTCAGTGTCGCCTGGCCTGAGACCCTAAAACAGCTCATCCAGCCAATATGCATTCCTCCCTCACACCAGAAAGTGCACAGCGGTGAGAAATGCTGGGTCACCGGCTGGGGGCGAAGGCATGAAGCAGGTATGTGAACAAATATGCTGTTATGTTCTTTCCATTCAAATGTTTAGCATTAAGGTGATGCTTGGGGGTTCATGGAGAGAATTTTAGTGTATTGTCTTATCTGAGCCTCCTGGCAACTTCTGAAAGGTAAAATGGAGAATGGTATGCTCATTCCTATTTAATGAGGCTCTTCTTCTATCTGCAAGAAGCAGGATATGGCTCTATAAGTTTTCATGATGAGAACCGGATAGATAGGATGGACCCTTTCAAACTTTGGTAAGTTTTTCAGATTACCATTCAGAAGATCCAGTCTTCCTTATTTTAGGTCACATTTATTTATTTCTTGAGGGTGGTCACACTTACTGGTGGCACCAAAGTCTGTGTTCATAGCTCAATGCTTAGGGATCATTTCCAACAGTGCTCAGGAGACAAGGTGGTATCAGGGAACAAGCCTAGAGTTCCCACTTACAAAGTTACTCTAGACCATTGAGCTAATCTCCCTGGCCCTAGGTTCCCCTTTGTCTAAAGGGCATGAATCATTTTTATGCACACACACACACACACACACACACACACACACACCACTACTGTCTTAAGTCATACTGTTGTAACTCAACAGATGTCCTTGTATCTATTCAGGAATGTGATGCTGAAAGGCAGTGAGCATGGAATGGGACAGAGAACAGAAATCCAACCTGCTCTTAGCTCTTCAGATGGCAAATTCCAACCTGAGGTTACATCAGTTTAGAAACAGAGCACCTGGAGGGAATGCTCATTTACAATTCCTCCTCCTCCCTCAGTTATCTTTGCAATATGCCCCAAGGTCAGACTAAGTGGTAGGGAAACTCCTAACTGTCTTTCCAAGGGTTTCCATGGCCTAAAATGCATGGCTGAGGGGACCAGAGAGGTTACAGGTGGGTAGGTTCTTTGTCTAGTTCAATCCCTGATGTTCCATATGGTTTCTCAAGGCTGCCAAGAGTAATCCCTGAGCACAGAGCAAGGAGTAACCCTGAGCATGGTGGGGATGTATCCCATAAACAAAACCAACCAACAGAATCACAGTTGAGTCTAAATCTATAGTAAGGGGAAGAGCCCAAAGTTTTGTGAGTAGCTCCCTAAATATGAGTGCTAATGCTGACCCTTGATTTTCCAATCGTCTTAGACTCTGTTGCAGTCCTTCAAAAGTTTTGGGCAGAAATACATTCTATGAATCTTGAACTTCACTCCAACCTGCTTTGACACTCTAAGAATCATTTTAGATTGTTTTTCACTGTTTGCAATTAAGGTTGTGTTCAGTATCTTCATTTAATTTTTGAAGTGACAGTATTCACCACCACCGTAAGCTTTCTGAGATCTCAGGGTCCCAGTGAGGCAAGTCAGCTAACTGCTGAATACTTGTTAGAATTGTAATTGGGATTTAATTACATTATCACAAATTACAAAAGGAAAGATTCTATTCAACCAAACTATTCATAAAATATTTCTTACAAAAGAGTGTGTGTGTGTGTGTGTGTGTGTGTGTGTGTGTTTTGTATCATCATAGCCAGAGGTTAGGAAGGATGTTATATCTATCCAAAATTTTGTGTCTTTATGGCTCCTGGGATATTCCCAAGTATGTGGCTCTACTTATGGATATGGAACACTCTTGGCTAGTGAGTATTGGTAATAACTTGCTGACTCATCGTCCTAAAGCGTGAAAGAGAATAACTCAGAGTCTCTGGTGATCAACTCAGATCTGGGTCTGATATCTGCTGTTATGTTCTAACTGTGTGTGCTCAGGCAAGTACTTTAAACCCCTAGAACTCTATTTTTCCATCTGCCAAAGGGGGACCATAAGAAAATTAGTTAAAAATATTACCATGAGGATAAGAGGAAACTTTTCAGTAAACTAGTGCTTAATGTTCAGAAAAGTTGTCACTGCCATAATGTCTACTTCCAATGTGTTTTCCAGATAATAAAGGCTCCCCTGTTTTGCAGCAAGCAGAAGTAGAGCTCCTTGACCAAACCCTGTGTGTTTCCACCTACGGCATCATCACTTCTCGGATGCTTTGTGCAGGTCTCATGTCAGGGAAGAGAGATGCTTGCCGAGTAAGTCAGCTCCCCCTTCCCTTGTTAAACAAATACTGTGTGAAAATGCTTCCATGTTCAATTTAATTTAAAATTTTATTAAAATTTTTGCGCGTAAGTCATTTGCCTTGCACGTGTCCGACCTGGGTTCCATTCCTCCATCCATCTCCGGGATCCCAGCAAGCTACCAATAGTATCCCGCCCACATGGCAGAGCCTGGCAAGCTACCCATGGCATATTCAATATGCCAATAACAGTAACAAGTCTCACAATGGAGATGTTACTGGTGCACGCTCGAGTAAATCAATGAACAACAGGACAGTGCAATGCTATTAAAGTTTTTAATTTAGGGGCTGGAGTGATAGCACAGTGGGTAGGGCGTTTGTCTTGCTTGCCGCCGACCGGGATTCAATTCCCAGCATCCCGTAGGGTCCCCGGAGTACCCCCAGGAGTGATTCCAGGAGTGCAGAGCCAGGAGTAACCCCTGAGCATCGCCGGGTGTGACCCAAAAAGAAAAAAAAACAAACAATAAAGTTTTTAATTTAGAATATTATTTAAAACCCAGTTATTTAAGAGCAGGCGAAGATAATTAAAATGGATCTATGGAATTCAGTTTTCTAGGTACTGTGTGTTTTCCTGCAACATTCAGAGAATAAGATTCACACTTACTCTGGGTTTTATTATAACCCCAAACAACACAAACACACACACACACACTCACACTCACACGGTTTCAGCAATGCTATTTTCTTAGCAGTAGCCATGTGCCTTCTAAAATAATAAGGGTTTTATTCATTTTGTCTATTGACACATAGACTACAGTGAGACCTGTAGGGGAAAAAAATAAAAAAGAATGTCTTAGGATACTCTTATGAGTGCTTTACTTGACTAAACGTAGAGGTCACCGTCACCTTCAATAGAACAATCTCTATGGCTTGGATTCCAATCTATGTGGATATTGAGATGATCATCCTAGAGTGATCAGATAATTTAGAAGATGAGTGGGAACTGTTCCCATATCTTTTCACAACCTTTGCCACCATGCCACAAGAACTTTATTGATAGAATAATATTTTTATTATTGAAGGTTTTATTTTGTTTCACCACGCCAGTTTCTTTACACAAACACATTTGAATAATTCTTTCATTCCCATTTTATAGAAGAGGAAACTGAGGCATACAAGAGTAAGTGAATTACTCAAGGTTACATAGCTAATAAGTACATGCCTGAGCTGGACTTGAAAAGCTTATCTCCTTAATGCTATGTTGCTGTGTTTTGGGTGCTTCCTGCATCTAGCTGGTTTTATAGTCAAACTCTTGTAGCCCCCAGGGCAACAATTTTTGTCACACTAAAATGTTTTGAAAGCCCAATTTCAAATCTAGTCATAATTAACCTAACCAGTTTTTGAATTGTGCAGGTTCAGTATAGGGGCACATTTGGAGCATAACAAATACTTTTGCCTCTCAATAATCTTTCAGAATATGAAACTAAGATATAGACATTATCATTTAAAGGACACGTAGTATAGGAATTACGTTTAAGTTTTGAAGTTTGAGCACTGGCCTTGTGTTGTTGAGATAACAAAAGGAACTCTCAAACAAGGGTGATTTATTAGGGATAACTATTGGCCAGTGGTGCTTCTGCATCTTTTATTGGACCTGATTAAGTAAACAGGGATTCTTTATCTTTTTCTCTGAAGGTCATAAACAACCACAGAAGTTTCAGGGCCCAAAGACAGAGGTCAACCTACCAAAATAAGACTTTTGTGAGAACTAAATGATTCAAAACTATGCTAAGCACTAACCCACATTAAATCAATGTTAGCACTTACTATTACATTTTAATTATTATTATCATTATTATTGAGATTTGTTTTGAGTGTGTGTTGAGACTCATTTCCCCCGAATAGTCCATTGTTATTCTTGGAATAAAGAATTCTGTACTTTGCTAAATGCAACTTTGTGATGTTAGGAGGAATATGATAAAATGCCATTCAAAATTTTATGTATTTGGCATTTTAGCATATTTCAGAATGCTGACCAAAATTTTTTGGTGCTTTCCTATTCTGCATGTTCATCCAACAGAAAGCTGTCAGAAAGGGAAATATGAACACAATGCATAAAACGTATTAATGACAAAATCAGTAAAGATGGGACTAATGTACTTTTCACTGTTGTTATTTTCTGTCCAGGGTGATTCAGGTGGGCCTTTGTCTTGTCGAAGAAAAAGTGATGGAAAGTGGATTTTGACTGGTATTGTTAGCTGGGGACATGGCTGTGGAAGACCAAATTTTCCTGGAGTTTACACAAGGGTGGCAAACTTTGTTCCCTGGATCCATAAATATGTTCCTTCTCTTTTGTAATTGTGTAAGTTGAATTTTTGACTGTGATTTATTGTGATTTTAAAAATAGTTTTTAAAAACCAATGAAACAATATTAAATAAAATGAGACACTTTTTTCCCTTCTGTAACTTTCAGATTGTACACATTCATTTATTAAATACAAAGAGATTGATATGTATTTTATTCCGCAAAAATTTCCCCAGGAAATAGTTATCTTCATTCTTATTTATTTTTTTTTTTTAAATTTTTATTAGTGAGACACCATTTTTTTATTTTTTATTTATTTATTTTTTAAATTTTTATTAGTGAGACACCATGTTATCTTCATTCTTAAGAATTAAAGGACCAATGATTCAAGGATGGAAGAAATTTAAAGCAATGTCATAATTCAAATCTCTAAAAAAAGAAAGAGGTGAGATACTCAGATATTCAAGGCATAAGTATATAGGAGTATTTAGGGAATCTGATTTATTAATATAAAATACCATAAAACAACATGTGATCTTCAGTTTCTCAAATAAAAGAATGAGGAAATACATCTCTTTCACAAATGAAAAGAATTTAAATTTCATTATTTGATGTGAAGGAAGTATTTATTTTATTGTTTTCTAGCCTAGGCGTTTTTTTTTTTTTGACCACATTATAGTAAACTTTCTTCTATCAAAAGATGTGAGAATATTGACTTTTTGTTTGTTTTTTTTGTTTTGTTTTGTTTTGTCTTGTTTTAGGGCCACATGTAGCTTTGCTCAGGGCTGACTCCTGGCTTTGCTCTCAGGGATCACTCCTGGCAGAGCTCATGGGTGCCGGGAAACAAATCTGGGTTAGCCTCATGTAAGGCAAGCATGCTACCTGCTGTACTATTGCTTCAGCCCTGTACATGAAAATATTGTATGAAGGTTAAAAAAAAAACAAAACAGTCATCCACACAACAAAACTGGCAGTAATTACAATGGTGGGAGTCAGTAGCATGGTCAAAGGACTGATAGCACTTGGATTTTAGAAAAAGGTAATGCTGGCCAGCTGTTGAAAGGCAAAGGCGTGTTTTGTTTTTGTGTGTTTTTGTTTTGGGGCCACTCCAGACTCTGGGCTAGGGGTCTGTGTGCCATGTTGGGAACTGAACCTAGACCTTCTGCAGGCAAAGCATGCGCTCCAGACTGTGGAGCTATTTCTCTGGCCCAACAAAAGGATCTTTTATTTGTTTGCTTTGGGTGGGGGACGGGGGGAGGCATAGTCCCAAAAGGTTTACTCCTGGCTCTATACTCAGGAATTATTCTGCTCAGGGTTTACTCCTGGCTCTATACTCAGGAATTATTCCTGGTGGTACTAGGGGACCATATGGAATGCCAGGTATCAAATTTGGGTTAGCCCCACCTGTTATACTATTGCTCTAGTCCTAAAGGGATTTTTTGATGATAGTTTTGAAAGAGGCTGGAGTGATAGCACAGCAGGTAGGGCATTTGCCTTGCATGTGGCCGACCCCGGTTCGATTCCTCCATCTCTCTTGGAAAGCAAGCTACCGAGAGTATCCTGCCCACATGGCAGAGCCTGGCAAGCTCCCCATGGCATATTCAATATGCCAAAAACAGTAACAAGTCTCACAATGGAGACATTACTGGTGCCCACTCGAGCAAATTGATGAACAATGGGAGGACAGTGCTACAGTTTTGAAAGAGAAAATTTTCCAAAATATTTTCATTTGATTTCTGGTTCTTTTATATAACTAGGATCAAGACTTTTCTTTACTTTCAGGACCATAATTATAATTACATAAGCTGGCATATCTAGAGACCTACAGTACATCATATATTACCAGTTTGGACTTATTTTGTCTTTGAATATTGATTTCAGTATAGTCTTTTCATTAACAGAGGTCAGACCTAATCTCACTTCCAAGGTGGTGAAAGCCACATAGAGAAGGATTATTTCATGTGTGTTCTCAGAGACAATCAAAGACGTAACCAATGCTATTTTTCAAGTGGGGGGCCAGAACATTGAAAATGATTCTCATAAGACCTCAGGAAAAAATCTGTTGTTATTATTATTGTTTTAATGAAAGACAAACCAGGATTTATAGCTACCAGGAAATTGTAAACATATTTTTGATTTTATTAAAATGCTCTTTCAGGGACTGGAGCAATAGCACAGTGGGTAGGGCATTTGCCTTGCATGTGGCCGACCCGGGTTCGATTCCCAGCATCCCATATGGTCCTCTGAGTACTGCCAGGGGTAATTCCTGAGTGCAGAACCAGGAGTAGCTCCTGTGCATCGCCAGGTGTGACCCAAAAAGCAAAAATAAATAAATAAATAAATAAATAAATAAGTAAATAAAATACTCTTTCAGATAGGCTGGAGCGATAGCACAGTGGGTAGGGCGTTTGCCTTGTACGCTGCCTATCCAAGTTCAATTCCTCTGCCCCTCTCGAGAGTTCGGCAAGCTACCTAAAGTATTCCGCCTGCATGGCAGAGCATGGCTAGCTACCCGTGGTGTATTCTATATGACAAAAACAGTAACAACAAATCTCACAATTTGTTGTGAGACATTACTGGGGCCCGCTTGAGCAAATGATGAACAACGGGAGGACAGTGCTATAGTGCTACTGTTTTACTCTTTCAGATAAAGAATACAATATTTTATTGATGTCTTGAATAGGACCTTAATAATTATGTAAATTTGTCATAGAATAGCACCACTTAATTGACAAGGGGAGGATTTGACTACTGAATTTACCAGATAGGAGAGAAAATTTTTCTGATTGTTTTTATAAGTTAGGCTGAATTTTCCTGGTATAAATGTTACCTAAATATAAAATTCGCGGCCACGTGACATCTTATTATGACATCTCATTCCTATTTTGGACAAACTGGCAGGCTACCGAATGTAACCTGCCCACACGGCAGAGTCTGGCAAACTCCCTGTGTCGTACCCAATATGCCAAATACCAATAACAATGATGGGTCTCATTCTCCTAAAGAGCCTTGAATATAATCTCAGGGCTAGGATGAAGGAGACGTTACTGGGGCCTGCTCGAGGCAATCGATCTGTGAAATAGAAAATGAATTGTGCTTTTTAATGGTCAATTATGAGATGGAAGGATTGCTATTTAACAACATCAACATTTTTGTCTTAGTTTGTCCTCTTTCATTTTAGATGACAAATTCATTTTATATAAATGGGTTATTATGAGCTACTAGATTTGTCCAGAGGATTTTTTTCGCATATTCATCAAAAGGAGTTTTGCAAAACATACACAGTAGGTGCCACTCTAATCTGTTAAGTGTTAATGTCAACTAATCTAAGTTGGGATTAATGTGAGCTTAGTTTGATCCGCACCCATGCAGGGGTGGAGAAGAGGTTGAGAAACACCAACTTAACTTATGGACTATTTCATGTCAAAGTATCTTTAGAAACTGATATGAAAATACTCAACTCATTCTTGCAATGGAATGAGTAATGGAAACCTGAAAACTAGTACGGATGCCAGACTGGAAATAACTTCTGAAAACCAAGACAGAAGCAATTCTATGTAGTAGACTACTGGGGATAATTTGTAAGGACCTACAAAGTATTAGGCCATGTCTTGAAATCTGCAAAATGAAACAACATAGGCAATCAACTACCTCTCAGTGTAATTGATCCAGAACAGTACTATCTGGTATCTGAAAATATTATGTGTACAGATTGCTATGCTTTAAGAAGCACAGAATCTATTTGAGAGATGAAGATGGTTTGGTGATGTCACTTTTACAATGTTTTAATTTTTTTTTATATAATAGCCATTTGGAAATTGTTGGCACCTCAGGGAAAAATAAAGACAGGCAAATACTATGACAGAAAGTCACTGTCACTGTCCTCCCATTGTTCATCGATTTGCTTGAGCGGGCCCAGTAACCTCTCCATTGGAGACTTTGTTGTTACTGTGTTTGGCATATCGAATACATCACGGGTAGCTTGCCAGCGGGCGAGATGATGACAGAAAGTAAAACAGAAAAATTTTAGAGCTAGAGATATGGCTCAAATGGTAGAGCACAATTAGTCTACTATTTATTGTATTGTTTGATCCATGACTCTGTGAGCAATACCAGCTGAAGAGTGTGGTCCCAGAGTAGTAACAGCAGCAAAAACATAACAATGTCAACAACATCAACCACAGCAACACACTAGTTTGCTAGCCAAGTCTCAGTGTGTGTGTGTGTGTGTGTGTGTGTGTGTGGTGTGTGTTTGTGTGTGTGTGTGTGTGTGGCTTTGGGGCCACGCCGGTGGTGCTCACCAGGCATTACTCCTGGTTCCATGCTCAGGGATTACTTCTGGAGGGGCTCAGGGGACCATATGGTGTGTTGGGTATTTATACCAGATTGATTGTGTTCAAGCACCTTACCTGCAGTATTATCTCTGGTCGAGTCCTGATTTTTTATTGTTTCAATTTGATTTCTAGAACAATTAAGACAATTGTGGCATTAATGATTTTAACTTATATTTAAAACAATGTGTACAGTAACAGTTACACTTTGATAAAACACGTTTAAAGAATTATTTGTGCAAGGACAATATGATTTCTAAAAACTACCTACCTGTAAGTAAATTCTAAAAAAACCCCCACAGATCTAGCTAGAAATTCGCTCCCCATTCAAGAGTCCTTATCTTTTTATTTATTTATTTAAATTTTATTGAATCACTGTGAGATAGTTACAAGCTTTCATGTTTGGGTTATAATCACAGAATTATCAAACACCCATCCCTCCACCAGTGCACATTCTTCACTACCAATATCCCCGGTATACCGCCCCCCCCCTTCCCCACCCTCCCCCTGCTTCTATGACAGACAATATTCCCCACACTCTCTCTCTACTTTTGGGCATTATGGTTTGCAATACAGACACTGAGAGGTCATCATGTTTGGTCCATTATCTACTTTCTGCACACATTTCCCATCCCGACTGATTCCTCCAGTCATCATTTTCTTAGTGATCCCTTCTCTCTTCCATCTGCCTTCTCCCCTTTGTTCATGAGGCAAAAGTCCTTATCTTTTACCAAGAATTGTTTAAACTAAATTCACTTCTGCCTCCAGGGTGAAGCATTGCTTTTTCACTCTCTCAGAATGCATAGTCTGAATTCACTCTTTCTGAGTTTTGTGAGTCAGACTGGTAGAATGAAAAAGTGCTCAAGTAAGGGTTGGGACAGTCATTTGCATTTATAGGCCATCTCTCTGGAGATAAAGACATCTGCAGTTGCCAGAAACAGGTTTCAAGTAAGAACTTAAGTAGTTCAGGTCATATTGGCAGGTGTCAGCAATTGTCAGTGATCAAGAAAACAGGACAGAACAGGAACAAAAGCTAATATTCAAAGCAAACATTGAATCAAAGGTTATTGCTTGGTGTGAATGGTTAGGCATAAATGGCTATTAATTACAAAGATACTTACAGTGGGGAAAGTAAGGAAGTATTACTGGGAGTGTGTATTGGTCAGGCAAAAGAATACATGCTTTACACATTATTTAATCCTTTTAACTCTATTGAATAGGATCTTCAAATGAGGAAAGAGACTTGTAGATATTAAATGCCTAACCGAAGAATACACGGATCGGTCAGATACTAACTGCTTACCTTTGAGAAAATTTCTTTCCTCAGAAATGCTGATCATATATAAAGGCTAGACTTATGGAACTCTAAAAATACAACTAGAACTAGATTAAACAAGACAAAAGCTTTGGTTTATAGTACAAAGAAAGACCTGAATTAGAAGCTTTTGATGGGAAATAGTAAGTTTTTGTTTGTTTCTGTTTCGTTTTGGTCTTTTGGGCCATATTCAGGGATGCTCAAGTGTTAATCCTGAACTCAGGAATTACTATTGATGGTCTTTGGGGGACCATACGGGATTCTGGGCTTTGAACCAGGGTTGACCACGTGCAAGGCAAGCACCCGACCAGCTGTAGTATTGCTCAGGCTCCACGAAACAGTAAGTTTTCAATCCTCTGTGCTAGTAAAAGAAGCTGTTAGGCATATGTTTTTGGAAACTAGGCTTGAAAGCTAAGTACAGTCCTCATGAATGGCAGAAGCATCTCCCAAGTAGGCTGAATTCTCGTAAGTAAAAGTACTTGAGGAAGAATGTCAGGGTCTGAAAAATCAGGCACTAGGGAGTTGAGGTGTCTTGGTGTTGCTAGTTGGGGCAGGGACTCCTCAGGTCTCTGACTTAACAAACTATGGTTGTTGAGACTATTGTTTAAATTAGTATGTATACTGAGAACTCTGCTGAATACAGAGCCAAGTACTGAAGTGCATAGATTACCTCAAGGAATTTAAGCAATAAAGGCCCACAAAAAATGAACAAACAAACAAAAATAAAACAAACAAACAAACAAACAAGAAAACCACAAAAACCCACCCCCCCAAAAAAAACAACCTACCCCCAAAATAACCCAAAAAACCAAAACACTAGTGGTTCAACTCAACTCACTGTATCCATTTTGAGCTTTGAAATGGTAAAGGTAAAAGGTAAAGGCCCTCCCGTTGATCGTCGATTTGCTCGAGCGGGCCCAGTAACGTCTCCATTGGAGATTTTGTTGTTACTGTGTCTGGCATATCGAATAAATAAATAAAATAAATAAATAAATTAATTAAATAACCCGGCAAGCTACCGAGAGTATTCGATATGCCAGACACAGTAACAACAAAGTCTCCAATGGAGACGTTACTGGGCCCGCTCGAGCAAATAAATAAATAAATAAAATTAAAATAAAACTGAGGATTTCAATTTCACTTTGTCCTAGAGTTTCCCTCTTCTTCCAGAAATCTGCACAGCTGGTTCCTTTCTAACTTTTAACTCTTTGCTAAAATATCACTTATTTTTTGAGGGGTGTTGCAGCTATACCTGGTGTGCTTAGGGATCACTCCTGGTATTGCCAGGGTGACCATATGGGGTACTGGGGATGAATCCTGGGTCGACCGTGTACAAGGCAAATGCCCTTCCTGCTGTACTATTGCTCCTGCTCCTCAAATCTCACCTTCTTGACGAGACACAAGTTGATCAGCTATTTCATAATTGCATCTTCCCCTTCTCCTTCAACCATCAGTTAGCATCCAGTTTTCCCACATGGTTTTAACTCCTCCTGATGACACATTTAGCTTTTAATATTCTAAAATGCTCTTTGTTAGATTTGTTTCACCTCATTATATAGAAGCCTTGCAAAGTCAGTTGTTTTATGTATTTAGTTATCTCTTCAGACATGTCTCAAGCCTTTAGGATGCCTGACACAGAGCAAGCACTCTATTCTACTTGAAGTAATGTTTGTTGAACCCTTTTGGACTGAATATTAGCACTTTGTAAGCAGAGATAATATAATTACTTTTAGTAGGAGGAATTCAGGAAAAGTTTAGTGGAAAGCTTTTATTAGCTAAGATGAAAAAAAAAATGGGAGCTGTTGTTGCAGAAAGTAGGACAAAGGAGGAGATTCCTTCTGAGCAATAGCACATCATTCAAAGAGAACTGGGCATGGGGGTGGAATGAACTGGCTGAGGAGCAGCCAGGGGAAGTGAGCAGGTTAGATCAGAGAGGTCTACTCTCTGTCTCAGGAGACCAGTGCTGGTCATTACAGGAGAAGGCAGATTCCTTCCTCTTTTGTACTCTAGATTCTTCCTTTGATTTTGATCCATAACTGGTTTTCACTGTTAGTGTCCGGCAGGAGAGTGGTAGTTGGAGAGAGATGTCGGTATTTATCCTTCTCTGCTTTCTTCCTGTTGGGTCATTAGCCATTGAGCTTGGCTATAATTTTCTTTAACTGCAGTTTGAGTCTCAGGAGGCCCCTCCTCCATGACTCCAGTTTTGTTTTTGTTTTTGTTTTTGAACCTAGCTTTGAGGTTTTAATTTTTTATTTTAATTGATGCTTTTCTTCATGTGCCTCGCTTCTCTTAGTTGTTACAATGACTGAGGGGAGGACAGAGGGTCACATACATGCTTGATTATGGCATTTGCACATTTTTTTTCTTAGTTGTGACGCTTGCAGGACTTGGGGGCCATGTCACACTCATGAGATTGTGGTGCTGTCCTGCCCCCCTCCCTTTAGCCTTGATGTTTGTTGGGTGGTTGAGTTTCTTTCATTGTGGTACTTGTACACATGCTGCTGGGGCTTAGAATATTTTGTAGTGATGCTCATATGCGTTCTGGTTACAGTGCGCTCACAGAGAGTGGTCAAAAGTTGTATTTCTCAACCACTGTGTGGGGCAGATATCCTTGTTGTGGTCCTCACCCTCATCTGGCTGGACTGTGACTGGAAATTGCTTGTGGGCCCAGGATCACAGACAGCACAGCTGCCAAGCTAAAATATGATGTATGTGGTGGCACCAGGGGACTTTATGCTTGTAAAGCAGTTGATCTAAGTCCCCTGAGCTCTGACTCAAGTTCTTAATTAGGTTTCAGTCCTTTTATCCCTAAAAGTGATAGAGATGCTAGTTCCTTTAACTCAGCCTCTTCCAAAATCCCACCTAAGAAAAGTGCAGGGTCTACCTGTTAGAGTAGAGGGAACAGAAGTCAGCACAGTGGTCACTATTAGTACAGCGCAGGGCAGATGGACCCCAAGTTGAGAGAAACTGGTAACAGATGAAAGACCACACAGAGACGGGCAGTATCTGCAGAGTGGGGTTGTAGGCATGGAAAGGGCCAGACATCTCAACAGTGGATGTTTTCGGAAGCAGACTTATGTCTCCACAGCTGGTCCTCACCTCAAACAGATCTCAGTGAGTGAGTATATGTGAGTTTGGGGGGAGGTAGGCAGGAGAAGATGAACATCCACTTTGCTTATCAGCATCAGTCTGGGCGCAGGATACCAGCTGTCCTAAAGGATGGATTGTGGGTGCCCATCAGTACTTTTCCCTCAGTTTGTTTTCAGTGTGGGCAGTCTGCGGCCCCTTTCTTTAAAGGGAGAGGCAGTAGCCAGCATTCATCATGCTTGCTCTGGTGTCACCCTAAGTCCTTTACCGACATCGACTCTTCATCCTGGCGACAACCCAATTAGGTCAGCCCTTAGCATTCAGCCAACATTTCAGATAAGGAGACTGGCAGGGCCGAAGCCCAAGGTACCAGCGACAGAAACCCCGTGAGAGGACAGCCTTGGGTTTTGGAAGTCCACTCTCCTCTGCACCTCTCAATGCAGTCTCCCTGCTTTCCTCCGGACCTAGGAGAAAGGAGTGTACTCATGCATGACTTATTCATCCTCATGAGCTCCAAGCCTGGCACGCAGGAGAGACTTCGTAATGACTTGTGGATGAATGAATGAACTTTTGTCGGCGACCAAAAACCGGGGCAAGCCCTGGCAAACGGACAGCCGGTCGGGGAGGCATACCAGCTTCGTTCCCTGGCACCTGGGTCCGTCCGTACCGCAGCCTGCCACCCAGGCAGCCGGCCAGGTCGCCAGCACCCCCATTCGGCTCTGACTTCTGAGCCGTCTCTAACACACACACAGTGAAAGCAGGAGCGGGCAGCGCCCTGCACAAACCAGAAAAACAGCCCTCCTCTGCTCTGGAGCCACAGCAGGGCACGGGGTGCGCGGGGCAGGTGCCAGCCAGCTAGCTTCCCGACCCCGAGAGCAGGCCCCGCCCCGGCCCTGGGCGGTGGGGTGTGTCCGGTCGGGCCGGGAGCTGTTCATTCTGGACCCTGCACCCTGGACTGGGCCGCGGGCCCAGCCTCCGCCGCCGGCCCATGGAAGGCTCCAGGCCCCCGTCGCCGCGAGATGCAGTGGAGCTGTCGGTGCTCGAGGGGCTCCTGCCCGAGGAGCCGGCGCTTCGCAACGGAGACGTCCAGGTCGTCGCTCCCCGCGCGGAGCCACCCCGCGACGCCCAGGTGAGGTCCGCTGGCGCCGGCGGTGTCACCCGAGCTCCCCCAGGGTCCACTCGGACCAGAAGCTCGGCCCGGCCCCCGGGGACAGTTCCGGGATTCCGCTGCCGTCCGGGGCGCCCAACGCCCTGCATTGGCGGTGCGCGCGGAAACGTTCTGTAGGGAGCGGACCCGAGGGAAACCCCCGACCCGGGCCGGTCTCAGGCTCTCCAGCGCTCTCGGCCCGCCAGGAATTCCACTCCTGCCAGTGAGGTGTGTCGCTGGTCTTTCCTTGGGAGGATCTCAAGCGGTAAAGGGGCTGCCAAAGGGCTCTAACTTCTACCCTTTAAGTTTGCCTTTGCCTTTGCCCAGTCCGGGGGGCTTGAGTGGTCCCCTGGATTCTCCAGGTGGCTTTTCTTTTCTTTTTCCCTCCCTGTCCCACCCGAGTCTCTCCCTCCCTTCTTTCCTAACTCTCATCCGTAACTCACCATTCCCATTCTCACCGCCTCTTTATTCCCAAGGCACACCGACTTCTGTCTCCTTTAAAAAAAAATTGTTTGTTTGTTTTTTTTTCTCCTCTATTCTGGCCTTTTGATCCCGTAGGCGGAGAAATAGGGAAGAGGTGAGAAACTAGTAAGATTAAGTAAGGGCTGGCGGGTGAACTAGCAGTACTGAACTAAAAAGGGCAAAACATTCAAAGTTCTTGTCCCAAAGAATTAGATGAGAGGCATTCGCTTCGGCCTCATCTTAATCTTCAAGGGAATCCTTGATGATGTTTATACAGTGAAATTCTTTTCTGATTCAGCCCTAGCAATGATGAAATATTATTCACTTCTCATCAAATGCTTGTAAAGTACTTTGAATTCTGCGCCATCTGCCTTCTGACGGATACCAATCTCTGTTAGGGTTTACTGAGGGCATGACACTACCTGTATGTGTAAATGTTTCTAGCAAACCTGATTTTTCTGAGTTCCACTCTTCCATTGCAACCCCACTGGCTTTCAGTGGTTAATTTCAGAGCTAAACAGAAAATACAGAAGTTAAAAGCATTGATTCAGCTAGGCATCGATCCCTGGAAATATTGCGAAACCTGCTTTACTTATTATTTTTTTAATATTTAAAATAAAATGTGATCTAAAGATTATTGTGGGGCTTCACTCTAGGCTATGCAGACAGTAGATCCTGGGCAGGGGGTATCAGGGCCATACCCAATTGTTCTGGGCATATGACATACAGTGAAGTGATTTCAGCAAAGACTTTGAATGTGCAAGACTTATGTTCCACCCTAGTCCTGAAACCCTTCTTTTACAGGAATCTATAGTTATTGTTAAGAGTAATTGGGTACCTTATATTTGCCTGAAAAAAAAATCTCACAGAAGAATGAAAGTTGGATATAGATTGTGTTCCTTAAAGGGACCAAAGCAAAGAACTTGTACCCAAGACTGGGAACAGGAAAGCCTGCTTGATTGGAATGAGCCTGCATTCCTCAAAAGTTTTGTGAGTTGGGACAGAATTGTGGCAATAGCTTTATTACTAAGTGGTGGGTTCCATTTAGTACCCACCATTATGGGGGCTAAGGGCTGAAGTGTGTATTTTCCCTCCTGCAAATTGTGGCAGTGCAATGTGACTACCTGACTTCTCTGTCTGGGATCACAGGTACTTTCTTGAAAATGCTTTAGTATTGGCAAACACAGGGAAAGAATCAGCATTTTACACTTGTTTAGAATGTACCAGCTGAGAACATGCTTTCTTGGTCTGATTACTTCCTTGTTAGTCAGGCATGTTCAGATATCTTAGACTTCCTTGTGAATTAGCTCTGTAGGTCATCCAATAGTAAAGCTCTGGTGAGTACAGAAAGGCATGGGATGAAAAGTTTCAGGAACGCATGAGTGGCATTTAGAAATACTTGGAAAGACAGAACTGTTGAAAACCATGTGGTGGGGGGGTGGTGCTGATGGTTTAATCATTCTATTTGGATCTGTACAATAAATTGAGGTGCATTTTTAAAAAAATGTTAATTAAGGGGCCTGAGTGATATTAGAGTGGATAGGGCACTCGCCTTGAATTCGACTGACCCAGTTTTAATCCCTTGCATTCCATAACACTTGCAGGAATACAGAGCCAGGAGTAAGCCCTGAGCACTGCCAGGTATGGTCCCCCACCATAAAAAGCTAATTAGTTTTCATCCTTAAAAGAATCAGATGTATTTGTGCCAGAGAGAAGGTACAGCAGGCAGGGTGCTTGCCTTGTATCCAGCTGACCCTGATTCTATCCTCAGCACCTCATATGATTCTCAAAGCCCTTCCAGGAGTGATCCCTGAGCACAGAGCCAGGAGAAATAAACCCTGAGCACTGCTGGGTATGGGTCTCCTTCTACCACCACTAAAAATCACAAATCACAAATCATCCTGTTAGTCGTCGATTGCCTCGAGCAGGCCCCAGTAACGTCTCCTTCATCCTAGCCCTGAGATTATATTCAAGGCTCTTTAGGAGAATGAGACCCATCATTGTTACTGGTATTTGGCATATTGGGTACGCCACAGGGAGTTTGCCAGACCACCAAAAATAAAAACAAAAAGAAATGAATATGTAAATAGAAGAGTAATAGGGATCAGTTTGGGGCTCATTTCTTCCTCATTATGAAGGAAGAAAACATCTCCTATCATGGTGTCTTCCTCCGTGGGAAGGCAGCTATGCAAGCTATATAGATGGTCCTTCATTGAATTCATTTTATTTAGTGGTGTTTTGTGTATAATGCTGAAGAGAAAACAAAAATCCTCACTGACGCTGAACAAAATAGATCTATTGATATTATATGGTAGTCCTTAAAGTTCTAATGTCAAACACTGACATTAAGTGAAGACTTACTGTGCACAAACGCAGCAGAAAGAACTTTTTTCTTGACTTGCGTTTGAGGATTAAAGGGAAGGAGCACAGGCCTTGGCACTTTGCTTTGTCTGTGGTCACAGTAAAAAGCAATTTAGTCGGGTCAGAGTGAAGGGACTGTGAGATAGTGCAGGGTCTAGGGTTCATGCCTTGCATCCCCGGTCCAGATTTGTCATGGGTAATCCCCAGAACCAGTGCAAAAAGTGAAAAAGACCATGGGTGATAGAACAAGTCTAGTTTTCTGCCATGGTTCATTTCATTAAATCTGACCTCAGTTTCCAAAAAGAAGTTACAGAGGCATTTTAAGGGATGACAGAAACATTAGAATAATAATAAACCTATCCAGGGATAGTTTTGAAGTAGGCAAGACTAAATGGGCAGCTGCAAATTAGCCTCAGTACTACTCTCTTTTCAGAATGTAGGACAGGTATCAACAGTCTTTTGTACTTGGGATCTGCAAGTGAATTAGATCCTACAATGAACAAAATACAGGCTTTCTTACACATTAAGAACTCTTTCCCTGGCCTATATATATTTGTTCTGACAGAGCCAAAGAGAAGAAAGCTTCTTGTGTCCATGATAAGTGTAATTCTGCCACTGTTTCTTGGTATAGCATCGTGTAATACAGAGCCTTGGGTTTAGGCTCTGTGTGAAGAGGGATATGGCTCTCTTAAGGAATGTTCAGAAGAAAGGCACAAAAATTCCTAAACCATATGGTGCCATTACACAATGTAAGAGAGAGTTTGTAAAACTCTCTGGAAGAGATACTGCAAAGGAATATTCCTGTCACTGTGACCTGTTATGAAGGGGGCTTCATATCCTTCTAATCCAATTTTGAGGTGAGACAGAGCACATGTACTGCATCAGAAACTCTGCTTTGGGGTCCACCCTGGGACTTTTTGTTGTTTCTAGCATGCAGGCAGCTCAGCAGTGCCACACTGTGGTGCAGTGGGTGATGATAATCCCGGGAGCTCTGTCAAAAGGAAGAGATGCTTTTCTCCTTTAAGAAGTGAAAAGTTCCTGTACTGAGATCTTTTTTTCTCCCAAAGTGGCTGAGTTTGGAAGTTTTAGAGCAGTTCTCATTCTCAGTCTTCAGTTCCAGTTGAGAGAAAGTTCTGTCTCTGGAATTCAGAAACACTTAATTTAGGACGGTTTTCTGATCAGATCATTCTGAACACTCAATTGCCTCCCTCATATCTAGCCCTAAGAACCTTTCTTTCTTCCTGCAGGAGAGAAATTGGGGACATTGGTGGTGGGAAATGTACACTGGTGGAGGGATGAGTGTTGTTATATTGCATGACTGAGACCTGAACTGTGAACAGCTTTGGAACTGTGTATCTCCTGGTAATTCAATTAAAAACAAACAAACAAACAAACGCCCTTTCTAGGGTAATTATTACCAAGGAGTGGAGCTGGGAATAGTTGATGGTCTTCTTTGATATTCCCTTCCTGGCCTTTGTTGTTGCTGAATCCTCTCAGAGGGGAATCCAGCCTTCTCTGGGTCTGTGCTGGGGTAAAGGTCTATGCAGGTCTGAGTTCTTTTGCTCATAAGGTGGGTTTTGCCGCCTTGGGTCCAGTTGCTTTTATTACTTCCCAAGATCTCATTCCTGCCCGCCTGTTTCAGGGGGACAAAACCAAAATCTGTTTCTATGTGAGCTTGGCAAGGGCAGTGGCCCCTTGGGGAAGACAGAGGGAGAATCTCCTATTAGGCGGAATGACCGGGAAGGTGAGATTTAACCTGAGGTGGGAAGAGAGGGGAGGTTTCAGATCAGCCTCACCTCTAAATCTAGATTCCTTATTAATGTCGGGTACGGTTCAAGGTCCACTCCACTTTAGTATTTAAATTAGTGCCCAGGGGATTCTGATATGCCTCCAGGCTTGGAAACCCCCTGTGGAGGAATTGTGAAGCGTTTAAATCTACCACGGACAATTTCTTTCCTAATGACCACCACTAAAATTACAATGGGAGGAACTGGGATAAGGCTTGAAAGGGTGGAGTGCGCATACCGGCCCCGCCTTTCTCCTCAGAGTTTCGATCCCTGGAAACTGAACTTTATGGTCCCTCCTCAGTCCCCCCCCCCCCCCCCCACACCCTCACGTTGCCTCTGTGTGTGGTCCTGAGGTGATCCCTGCCTCTGGTTCAGACCCACTCTGCTGACCATTGAGAATTGCTTCCAGATTTCCCCAGCACCACCAGGAAAACATCCCTCCCAACCCCATAAATAAAGTCATGATGGGATAAACAAGCAAATGGACACAGGTGCCCGGAAGTCCCTGCTGCTCTCTGAGCATGTGAGTCACGGTGAGCAGCGAGTATTTGTTTAGCTCATGCTGCGTTATCTCTAGTTTTACAACTGCCATGGGAGCTGGTTTATGTATTTATGTTCCACAGGGGCCTTCAGGTTTCAGGAGCTCGCTGATAGCGAGCCTAGCATTAAGTGGCATTAAGAATCCAGCTGGATTCCTGGCTGATAGAGAAAACCTTCCAGTGACCTGCCAGCCCTCTTTCTTCCCCCTCCCCTTAATTCTCCACTGGCCCCCATTGCCTCCATGCGGAAATGACCCGTGGGTGAGCCAAAGTATAGGGAGAGACAAGGGCCACTAGAGGCCCCACCACAGCACACAGACAAGCATAGCCTGCAGCACCGCTGAGGAGGGCTGTGGACCAAAGCCTTAGTTGCAGGCTTTGCTGTCACAGTCAGTCATGGTCCTCCCATTATTCATCGATTTGCTCGAGTGGGCCCAGTAACGTCTCCATCGTGAGACTTGTTACTGTGTTTGGCATGTTTTGTTTTGCCGTGAGGGCGAGATACTCTCGGTAGCTTGCCAGGCTCTCCCAGAGGGGCGGAGGAATCGAACCTGGCTCGGCCGGCCAGGCTGGCTGCACGCAAGGCAAACACCCTACGACTGTGCCATTGCTCCAGCCGTTGCAGGTTTTGCAATGACAAAGTTTTTCTCTCTAAAGTAGCAGCTTTGAAATGGGCTAATGCCTGCCTGGAAGGGCCTGTTTGGATGAAATGAACTGTTGGTGATTCAAAAACCACAGAAATTAGTCCTTGGACACCATACTCTTCCTCACTTCCTCTCCCCGCCCCCCTTTTTGACTTCTTTTGGGTCACACGGGGTGATGCTCAGGGCTAACTCCTGGCTTTACACTCAGGAATGACTCCTGGAGCTGCTCAGGGGAACCTTTTGGAATACCCAGAGTTGGAACCTCAGTTAAACGCATGCAAGGCAAACCCCTACCCCCTGTAGGACTCTTGTCCTTCCTTTAAATGCAAATACTGCAGAAGCGATAATGGAGGGTCTGTTTGTCCACTATTCCACTTAATCACTTAATCACTTAACTTCCCGTTAGTCTTTGATTTGCTCGAGCGGGCGCCAGTAACGTCTCCATTTGTCCCTGTCGCGTGCTAGTGTAGCCCAATGGCATCTGTTCGCTCTGGGAACATGAAGAGCCTCAAACTGATCGTTCATGATCTTGACGAAGAAGTCTGACCATCTGGTAGGTGGGCGGCCAGACGGTCTTTTGACATCCCGTGGAATCCAGTCGGTAACAGCTCTAGTCCAGCGGTCGTCTTTAAATCTCATTACGTGACCAGCCCATCTGATTTTTGACACCTTGGCAAATGAGACAGCATCCCTGATTCTTGATCATCTACGGATGTCGGAACTCTGGATTTTTTCTCTCATTTGAGTGAAACGTGATATTCCAAGCATAGCTCTTTTTATTCTTCTTTGGGAGACCTGAATAGCGTTCTCATCTTGTTTGCGTAGGGCCCAGGTCTCTGAGGCATATGTTAATGCAGGAAGAACAGTGGAATCAAAGAGATGTGCCCGGAGCCGGAGGTTCTTCGTCCTCTTAGCTATTTCTTCGACATTCTTGAAGGCATTCCAAGCCGCTCTCTTCCTCCTGCGCAGCTCGGGTGCCAGGTCATTTGTCATGTTGACCTCTCGACCTAGGTACACATAGCTGTTGCATTTGGAGATGGTCGTTCCGTTGAGAACGAAGTGGGCATCAGGAACGAGGCTGTTTCTCATAAACATTGTCTTTGTAAGATTCAGCTGTAGTCCTACCTTTCCACACTCACGGTCAAAGTCGGCCAGCATTTGTGCCGCTTGGCTGATGTTTGGTGTTATTAAAACAATGTCATCAGCAAAGCGGAGGTGGTGTAGTTGCCGACCATCTATCTTCACTCCCATTCCTTCCCATTCCAGTCGTCGCATGATGTTCTCGAGGGTGGCACTGAAGAGTTTCGGTGAAATAGTATCACCCTGCCGAACCCCTCTCTTGACATCAACTATTCCAAGGTTCTTCAATATTTTCAAGAATGAAAAAAACATTGAGAAATAAACGTGCTTAGATTCAGAGTTGAAAAATTGAAAAGTTTATTGGAAAGTAAAAGAGAAAGGAAAAGGAACTGCCTGGGTGGGCAGGAACTTAGTATAGGACTAAGTTAAAAGGAAGTGTTGTGTAGAACTTAAAGACTCTTTGCATTTCTTATCAGTTGGCAAGTGTCCATAAAGGATGCTGGAAAGTCACAGGGCTGTCTAGCTGGTCTCACTCTTCCTGGGCATCATTGCCCCGTGTTTTGGTCTTGCTGTCAGCCTAGGCTCCAAGGGGAAGTTTATGGTTCTGGGAAACTCCAGGAACACTGAGCCTTAAGAATGAATGTGTCAGGTCTGATTTGGGGGGGGGGTAAACTCTAAATAATAGTGGTGAATCTTTTATTGAAACAATGAATCTAATCAAAGCAGATAGAGTGTTAACTAGAATTCATCTGCCTCACAGGGACGGGGAGGGGTGGGGGGATGGGGTTTTATTGGGGTTCTTCATGGTAAAAAATAAGTATTGGTAAAGGGAAATGTGTTTGATATTTGCATGACTGAGACATAAACCTGAAAGCTTTGTAACCTTTCCCACAGTGATTCAATAAATTAAAAAAAAAAAAAAAAAAAAGAATGAATGTGTCAGGTTGATGGGGGTAGAGATAGAACGTCTGACCAGAGGGAACTGTGGCTTCCTCTGTCCCTGGGAAGGGAAAACTCAAGCTTCCTCTTTCATTTTGATTTCTCTTCCCAGGCATTCACACAGAGTCTGGAAGCATCTTTGCTTTGTCTTGTGACTTATATTAACTGCAAGTCATTTTACTCTTAGTCTTCAACATAGCTCTTGTGTTCCAGTATCTCCAGCAAGTCCCCAGAACCCGAATCCACCAATTAATGGCCCCCCCAACCCATTTCCCTGTCTAATCTTACCTCTCTTCACTTGCCTCTGAAAGCCCACTGTGCTTTGCTTAGCCTCATGGTGCTTCCCATTCATTCACTTGTTTTTCATCGAATCAACACAAAGGATGATCTCTCCAGGGTTTGGAATATTTTCCTCTGGCAGTCCTTCAAAAATCTATTGTTCCTGATTGCCACTCAATGCCTCTTTTGCAGACCACAACACCCAAAAGGAGAGAGAGAACACAGGGGATTGCCCTGCCACAGAGGCAGGGGGAGATGGGGGTATGGGGGTGGGGGGGATAATATCCATGGTGGTGGAAAATTGGCACTGGTGGAGGGATGGGTATCTGATCATTGTATAATTGAAACCAAAGCACAAAAAATTGTAAATTTACAACTTAAAAAAAAATAAAATAAAATAAAGGGAAAAAAAATCTATTGTTCCCACACCAGAGCCCTAGAGCATCCCCCCCTCCCCCCCCTCCCCCCACCCCCCACCCTCGCTTTTTGGGTCACACCCAGCGATGCTCTCCGACTCTGCACTCAGGAATTACTCCTGGCGGTGCTTAGGGGACCATATGGGATGATGGGGATCGAACTCAGGTGGGCTGCGTGCGCCTTACCCGTGTACTATTACTCTGGACCCCTAGAGCATTTTCTTGCTGGGTTCTTCAGTTCTGTTCTTGTCCCGTGAGTCGGCCGTTAAAGGACTGGTAACCGCTGCCCACTAGGACCAGGTTGCTCCTTTCTCCTCTAGAGCTGACCCATGGTGAGCACTCAGAAATGTGCATTCAGACCCAGTGACTGCCTCACGCTCTCCCTCTGATTTGCAGGCCAAAAAGGAGAGTCCGTGGAGAGTCTGTAATAAAAAATTGTTCGGAAAGTGCAAGCTGTGGATGGCCTTCGTCTCTCTTTTCGTAGCTGTCATTTTAATGATCATCATGTGCTTAGTTATTATTAGAGGTAAGAGAATTTAAACATGACTAATTTGACATATTTTAAGACCCTGTTTAATGATTTACACTGAAATGGAAGATACACGTATTGCTGTTTCAGTAGTTATGTTAAGAATGTAAAGCTGCTGTGGTATGTGCTGGGTAGGAGATAAATATAATTTTTATTTTTAATTCTAATTTGTTTTAAATTTGTTTTATAACCACTGGATTCTTCCAGTTATTTTTTGACATTGTTTACTTTATTTTACATCTTAAGATTTTGTACTTAAAATTTCAACTTTCTTAAGCACTAGTTTATATTTTGTTATATCTCCATACCTGTTTGTTCATTTTTTTTCTTATAATTGGTAAAACTCCATTATGAGATTTGTTGTTACTGTGTTTGTATATCGAATACGTCACGGGTAGCTTGCCAGGCTCGAGCAAATTGATGAACAATGGGAGGACCGTGACCATGACCGCGGTAAAACTATGATATACCTGGTGTATTATTATAATATAATGATAAAATAATGTATTATACGCTAACCTTGAATCAAGGTATAAAAAGAAATTGATGTTTGCAGTGTACCATATCTGCTGGATGGAATGTAAACTGAGTTAGGCGATGCTGTTAGTGTTTTGAATATTCCTGTCACAATAGAAGTTTTTGCGGCATTTGCGGCCAAGCAACATCTTATTATCTCATTCCTACTTTGGACAACCTGGCAGGCTACCGAATGTAACCTGCCCACACGGCAGAGTCTGGCAAACTCCCCGTGGCGTACCCAGTATGCCAAATACCAGTAACAATGATGGGTCTCATTCTCCTAATCCTGAAAGAGCCTTGAATATGGCACTTTTTTAAAAATCTCAGGGCTAGGACGGAGGAGATGTTACTGGGGTCTGCTCGAGGCAATCGACGAACAACAGAATGATTGTGATAGTATTATAATATATAAAATACGTTACCTATTTTATAATATGTTTATAATACAGATTTTTTTTTTTTTTTGCTTTTTGGGTCACACCCGGCAATGCACAGGGGTTACTCCTGGCTCTGCGCTCAGGAATTACCCCTGGTGGTGCTCAGGGGACCATATGGGATGCTGGGAATTGAACCCGGGTTGGCCACGTGCAAGGCAAACGCCCTACCCGTTGTGCTATTGCTCCAGCCCTTATAATACAGATTTTTAAAACTAAAAATTACTAAAATAATTACTAAATAATACTTAATAATAATACTTAATAATTACTAAATCTGTAATTATTTAAATTATTTTTAAAATAACTTCGTTGTATTTATATTTATATATATCGAACAAAAGCATTGCTGGGGCTAACCATATAGTTCACATATATTATCTTTTTCTTGTTTTTCTTGTTAACATTTTATTATCTTCTGGTCCTTTTTATACTAGCATTTCTTTCTCTCTTTCTTTATTTCTCTCACTTTCTTTCTTTTTTTAAAGCAGGATGGTTTTTATTTACTGTGTCTGGCATATCGAATACTCTCGGTAGCTTGCCGGGCTCTCCAAGAGGGGCGGAGGAATCGAACTCGGGTCGGCCATGTTGGCCGCTTGTAAGGCGAACGCCCTACCCGCTGTGCTATGTAAGAGGAGAGAGAGAGAGAAACACAGGCTTTTCCAGAGTAGAAATAAGCAAGCAAAGAAACAGCCATGAAAGTGAGATACATATTCAAGGTGAAAATGACTTGAAGAGCAAGCCTTATTTGCATTTCTAAAACCATTTGATAAGATTTTTTTCTTTTGTTTTGTTTTTGTTTTGGGCTGTCTGTGGTCGCATTCAGGGCTCACTCCTAGCTCTGCACTTATGGATGACTCCCTAAGGGACAGCGGGCATCATCTGTGCTCCCAGGGATAGAACAGGGGTTGTCCGCATCCAGGGCAAGTGCCTTACCCGCTGTACTATCTCTCTGGTCCACTTAATAAGATTTTAAAACTAGAAATCACTGTCACTGTCTGTCACTGTCCTCCCATTGTTCATCGATTTGCTGGAGCGGGCCCAGTAACTTTGTGAGACTTGTTACTGTTTTTTTGCTTACTGAATACGTCACAGGGAACTTGCCAGGCTTTGCCGTGCGGGCGTAGCTTGCCGGGCTCTCCAGCTCGGTGGAGGATTTGAAGGTGGAGGAGTCCAACTCGAACTCGGGTCGGCCTGGTCGGCAGCGTTCAAGGCAAACACCCTACCCACTGTGCTATCCCTCCTAGAAATAGAAAAATAAAATACTAAATATTTTTAGGATTTTACTGTAATACTGGGCTGATGAGATAGCACAGCAGGTAGGGCGTTTGCCTTGCGCACGGCCGACCCAGGTTCGATTCTTCCGCCCCTCTCGGAGAGCCAGGCAAGCTACCAAGAATATCCCGCCCCCACAGCAGAGCCTGGCAAACTCCCCGTGGCATATTCAGCATGCCAAAAGACAGTAACAAGTCTCACAATGGAGACGTTACTGGTGCCAGCTTGAGCAAATCAACGAACAATGAGAGGACAGTGTTACTGTAATACTGAGATCATTTCAATTAAAAATTATTTGTGAACCATTGATAACTGCATGATGTAGTCTTTTAAACTGCCTTTTTGGTAACTATCAGGTTTAACAAATATATAATTGGTGTAATTGAGACTTCCTGAAGTATGAATATAGCCCCCTTCTGTGGCCAATCATTTTAATTTCAAAGTAGAAAGTAATGTGATTGTTTTGTTTTTGTTTCTGGGCCACATCCAGAGATGGCTCAGGGCTTATTACTGGCTCTGCACTCAGGTATTACTCCTGGCGGTGCTTGGGGGACCATATGGGATGCCGAGGATTGAACCCAGGTCACTGCATCCAAAATAAGCACCCTTCCACCTGTCCTATTGCACTGCCCCCCCCCCCCCGCCCCCGATTTTTTGTTTTGTTTTGTTTGTGGGAATGATTGTAGAGCGAGGGGATCCCATTTAAACCTAGGATACACTTGGAAGGATTTGAGATGTCTACAAGAATTTGAGTGAAGTTGTTTGCTTTCTAACAAATTCAGTTAAAGAATGGGACTGAGAGTGGGGAGATTCCATGTCCCCCCTGAAGGAGTCTTGTGAGTTACCCTAAGAAGCTCCACTGGCCACTTACCTTCTACTTCTTCTGTTCTACGCCTCTTCATCTCCTGCATCAAGGGAATTGTAACAGGTTTGCTCAGTTATTTAGGGCAGTGTTGGGCGGATGAAGGATTCTTTGAGGCCACTGGCTGTTTTTGATAAGTTCGTCAGAGGAGCTGCACCTCGTCCACGAGGCAGGGCACAGCAGTTTTAGTAGGAACTTTGCCACTCCCTCTTCCCATCAACTCCTACACCTGCATGTTGAAACTGACATTGAGTCACACAGTCTCAATCTGTCAAAACTCCTTGGTGATACCTTGAATCTTGTCTGATTTGTCTGGAACAAACACTGATGGAACAGGTCGAGTCTGTCAGATATTCGGGATTATAAAACACAAGATCTAAGACCTGGCTTCCATTCTCAAAAAGTTATTTGACATCTTTAACTCCCCGAGAGTCATCTGCAGAGAAAGGGGTTGCTTTTCTCTCAACAGTTCTTGAGGGGGACATGAAGGACCAAAGGAAAATATGCAGAGAAGATCTTTCCAACACTTTTGAAACAACCCATTTTCAGCTTGTTCTAAAATAAATATTTTTTTTTCTTTTTGGGTCACATCTGCCGTTGCACAGGGGTTACTCCTGGTTCATGCACTCAGGAATCACTCCTGGCGTTGCTCGGGGGACCATATGGGATGCTGGAAATCGAACCCTGGTCAGCCGCATGCAAGGCAAACACCCTATCCGCTGTGCTATTGCTCCAGTCCCCTAAAATTAAAAAAAAATTAAATGTTAACACTTTAATAACTTCCTTAAAACATTTTACTTGCATCAGGTAAATACTTTGGATTTTCTTGAGCCTTGAAAAATTCCGGCCTGTGGGGAGAGCAGTGGGTGTGAGGGGGCGCCATAGGCAGGAAGCTGCAGGGAGGAGGTGCCTTTCCCTGACCATCCTTCTTGCCCAGACAAACTTTTTAGGTACATTTGGGGTCGCACTGCAGAAGCTGCCAGGACCACTGTTATGGGTCAAATAATTTGTAGGACTTCTGAGCATGTCAAGATTCCTTATGAAGTGAGGTTCTTCAGGAACACATTTGCCCTTGGCCTTCTTGCCTTCCTCACCTGTCTCCAGGTTCCGTAGTGCCCTCAGAGAAGCTCTCAGAAAGAGTTAAGAACTGTGCAGCTGGAGTTAACGAAGAAGGAGGGACAATAAAATCAAACCACAGAAAGGAAAGACTTGGCAGTGGGGGAGGAGGAAGTGGGTTGCCCAGGAGGGGCCTGATAGGGAGGTTTCTGTGTCCTGGATGTTGTTAACAGCTATCCTGAATAATACAGTCTGTGGTCATTTTGACTGATGTTAATTCATTACGGGCTGTGCACGCACTATTTCCTGCACCTGGGGACACTCTCCCTCACTCCGCCCTTGGCAGTACAATGAGGCCCTGCCACATTCAGGCCAAGGCACTGAGCCAGAGCCTCGTGCACACTGGGGGAAAGAGCAGGCCTCCAGCACTCAGGACACACGGCCCACTCTGCTGAAAATGTCAGTGTTCTAGGGAGAGCCCAAGGAATCTTCTTGAGTCTGGATACCTGGTTTCCTGTCAGTTGTTTTTGAGTATTGTTCAAGGATTTCTCCTCTCTCCTTGGGGTAGAAGATAAAAGAAAAAAGTTAGCCTTTCTTTTTTAATGTTATGTTCTTTCTGAAATATGTTATTATCTGGGGTTATACTTTTGGTTTAGATATGTTTTTATTGCTTTTGGGCCATACCCAGAGGTGCTCAGGGCCTTACTCCTGGCAGGGTTCCAGGGACCATATGCATTTTGCAGGGGATCAAATCCAGGCCGGCCCTGTGTAAGGCAAGTACCTGCTGTACTATCTCTCCAGCCCTGGGTTTTGTTTTGTTAAACTGGTAATGCCTCAGCAGGGAGTAGAGA